GATAACCTCCCCAATATCCCTTCCCAGTACTCGGATCTACACCTAGAACAGTAAACAGAAGGCCCTATCCCTACCGCCTCATCGCCCATCTGACTGTCCTATAGACCTAATTCCAGGGGTTCTGCCCCCTAAGTGCCATGTCTATTCACTCTCCAACGAGGAGACTCAGGCTATGGAAGATTATATCCAGGAGTCCTTGGAATCTGGTTTCATCCGCCCCTCTTCCTCACCTGCTTGCGCCGGTTTCTTCTTTGTTAAAAAGAAAGACGGCTCTCTCAGACCCTGCATTGATTATCGGGGTCTGAATAACATAACTATCAAGAACAGTTATCCCCTTCCTCTGATTTCATCAGCTTTGGAATCACTCCGGGGCGCCACTATTTTTTCTAAATTGGATCTCCGCAGTGCTTATAATTTGATCCGCATTCGGGAGGGTGACAAATGGAAGACGGCATTCATTACTACCCACGGTCATTATGAATACCAAATAATGCCGTTTGGACTGATTAATGCTCCTGCTGTCTTTCAGGGGTTCATGAATGACATCTTTAGGGATATTTTGCACAAATATGCCCTGGTATACCTGGATGATATTCTAATCTTTTCCCGAAGTCCCCAGGAGCATGTCTCTCATGTGCGCGAGGTTCTTCATCATTTGATTCAGAAGAAACTCTACGCCAAATTGGAAAAGTGTACTTTCCATGTTACCAGAATCCACTTCCTTGGCTACATCCTCTCACCCCTGGGCATTGAAATTGACCCTGCCAAGACTGAATCCATACAGAACTGGCCAACGCCCCAGAATTTAAAACAAATTCAATGCTTCCTGGGATTTTCCAATTTTTACCGCCGTTTTATTAGGAATTTCAGCTCTGTCGTCTCCCCCATTACAGCCCTGACCCGAAAAGGTCCTGATCAAGGGAAATGGACTCCTGAGGCAGACCAAGCTTTCCTTCATCTCAAGAGACTGTTCACCACAGCCCCCCTCCTCCATCACCCACACCCCAACCTTCCATTCATTCTCGAGGTGGATGCCTCAGCCAACGGAGTCGGTGCCATATTATCTCAACGTCATGGAGAGAAGGGTATCCTCCACCCCTGCGCCTTTTTCTCCAAAAAATTGTCCCAGGCCGAGACTAATTATGATGTTGGAGACCGAGAACTACTGGCTATCAAACTCGCCCTGGAGGAATGGAGACACTGGTTGGAGGGGGCCCTACACCCTTTTACTATTCTTACGGATCATAAAAATCTCTCTTACCTACAAACTGCCAAACGTTTGAATCCACGCCAGGCCCGCTGGTCACTTTTCTTTTCTAGGTTCCATTTTTTTCATTACTTATACACCGGGATCCAAGAACATAAAGGGTGACGCCCTATCTCGCCTCCATGATCCTCCTGGCTTTTTGGACCCTCCTGAACCTATTATACCCCCTGAGAGAATTGTGGCTGCAATTAGATGGGACCTGGAGAGCCAAATCAAACATGCACTTCACAACCAAACCGTTCCCCCCCAATGTCCTCCAGACAGACTCTTTGTTCCTGACACCATACGCTCCACTGTTCTTCGCTGGGGTCATGACTCACTATTTGCAGGTCACCCCGGTGTCAAACGGACCTTGGAATTCATCTCTAGACATTTCTGGTGGCCTTCTATGAGGACTGATGTTACTGGGTACGTGCAGGCCTGTCCCATCTGTGCCATGACCAAATCCTCCCATCTTAAGAAGCCCGGTTTACTCCAACCACTCCCAACCCCTAGAAGACCTTGGTCACACATCTCAGTGGACTTTCTTACAGATCTTCCTGAGAGTCAAGGCAAAACTACTATTATGGTTGTGGTAGATAGATTCTTGAAGTCGGCTCATTTCATTCCTCTTCCTGCCCTTCCATCTGCTCAAGACATGGCTGACCTCTTCATTCTTCATGTCTTCAGACTTCACGGCATTCCTGAGGATATCGTATCAGATCGAGGACCTCAATTCATTTCAAGATTCTGGAGAACTTTTTGCAAATCTCTTGGGACTTCCACATCTCTCACGTCTGGTTATCATCCTGAATCCAATGGACTGACGGAAAAAAACAACCAGGACCTTCTTACTTACCTTCGATCTTACGTCTCTGCTTCTCAAGATGACTGGGTCTCTCTCCTCCCCTGGGCTGAGTATGCCCATAACTCTCTCTCTTCCTTCACCACTGGGATGTCTCCCTTCTATTGCTCTCTAGGATACCAACACTCTCTTCTCCAGGACTCTATCCCCGATTCAGATATTCCCTGCCTCCAGACGCGCCTCACTTTCCTCAAGAGGATTTGGAGACAAGCCACATCCGCCCTCCTGAAGACCTCCTTGCGGCAGAAGACCACCGCTGACCGTCATCAACGACCTGTGCCCAGACTACAACGAGGACAGTTTGTCTAGCTGTCTACTAGAAACTTACCCCTTAGACAGCCTTCACATAAGTTGGGACCCCGTAATATTGGACCTTTTCGCATCCTCTCCCAGCTTACTCCTGTAACCTATCGTCTTGCTCTTCCTCCAACTCTCAGGGTGCACCCCTCCTTCCATGTCCCTCTCCTGAAACCCTACCATAGATCCCCCCCCCTCTCCCGGCCTTGGCCACCTCCACCCCCACCACGACTCATTGATGGTCTACCTTCCTACACGGTCAATAAGGTCTTGGATGCTCGCTGTCTCCGAGGTCGCCGACAATTTCTAGTCGACTGGGTGGGCTATGGTCCTGAGGAACGTTCCTGGGTCTGTGAGAAAGATATTTTGGATCGCAGCCTCATCGATAACTTCGTTCGTACTCGCTCTCTGGGGTCGTCAGGGGCCGACCCTAAAGGGGGGGGTACTGTCACGCCCCACACTCTCCCTCGCAAACGACGTTACATTCCCGGAACCTCTGCTTCCCAATCTCATCCCTGATTGAACCCAGCACATTCTCACATGCATCAGATTCCTCAAATTCTCACTCCCTAACCAATCATCCAATCACACCCCTTTCCTTTCAGTATTTAAACCCCCTTCGCACACCTTCCCACGCTCACTATTGAGAAGCCTTTCTTAGTATTCTCCAGTGCGCGTTTCCTAACCTTTTGACTGATCTCCCGTTGCGAATCTTCTGCTTCTGCCTCTTGACCTCGCCTTCTGGATTTTGTCTTTTGAATTGTTTTTGAATATCTCTCGTTACCGGACCCTCTGCCTCTCTTATCGACCCAGCCTTTGGATTTTGTCTTTTGGATTGTCCCTTTGCTACTCTGCGTCCTGTGGGATTCCGGTCACGCATAAGGATCCTCCTATTCCACGTATAGGTTCCCTGACAGGAGCCTATCACAATGAGCACATCGAGCAGAATAGCTTCAAGGAAAGGGAAAGAGGTACTCTGTAGGTTTGTTGGATTGCTTTGTTTGGATGTCTAAATAGGTCAGCTTATCGAAAAGGAAGACAGTGTGTTTATGGGTAGTCAGTATGTACTCCAACTCCCCAAAGTGGATCCGGTGAGATAAAAGCAAGGGCAATGAATGTACCGACCGTGTAAAGGTCAGTAGTGCAGTCTTCAAAACTGACCATGTCCTAGGAAGAGTATTCAAGATCCTACTCTGGTACTTCTGTACCAGTGGCCCCTGACTGAGACGACAAAATCACAAGTTTCCTATCAGAAAGCCAGTCCAATGTACAGCAAATACTTTCATTTGGTTTCTTTCTATCAATTCAGGTACTAAAGGATGTTCCTTTAAAATTACATATAATTTTAAGATCTCTTTATCTCCAGCTTTCAGAGGCTAAGAAAAGGGCAACAGTCAAAACCTCAATAAATTATTACCATTCTACTGAATGGGTGTCCATGCTCTATTTGCAAATTTGCAAAGCATGAAATTCACAGCTTTGGAATTCCATCTTTTTTCACAAATGCTTGCTATCCTAACACAAGATGCAAAACTGTATGTTTAATAAGGGGGAAAGTCCAGTTTAGATAGGCATTTTCATCTTTTTCTTAATCTTTCTCCATCCTCCACTTTCAGGAAGAATACAATTAACTGCAAAAGTATCAATTGCTTAGATGACTCCCAGGTACATAAGTTTAACCTGCTTTGTACAGAAAAGCAATATGAGGTGAGCTTTAAATGCAGGAATGAATGGCAGTGAGAGACAGAAAGAAGAATTCATATAGAAAAATATTTTTTATTTTTTTTAGTTCTTCAAAAAATGAAGAACAAATTAAGAAGGGAATCAGGGGCTTTAATAATAAGATAATAAATGCTACTTTATTATCTCACTATATTATATTATCTCACTTTATAGTGAGAAAATATACAGCATAGTGCAACTACCTCTAACAACAGGGTAACAGAACAGATTCAGAAATTCTCCCTGATATAAAGCATAAAAACTCGATTTGAAAAGTATCGCAATGGACTAATGTTGTCCCAAAGACTGCATGCTTGCCTATGTGTATTTGTTGTTGGGGTTTTTTTGTACAATGAGAGCTCAGTGTGGAGAGTTAGTACAAGAACTCCGGTTTTTCTCTCTATTATTAAATGGGAGCACTCCAGCTCTCTTAAGACAGTGACACTTCTTTGGCTGGTTAAGGTGATATGTGGTTTAAGTATCCTCTGTATCTGTTGTGAGGGGGACAGACGTCAGTGGAGTGTGTAGTGCTATTGCTACAAATAAAATATCTAAGCCTTGTGCTGAGAAACCAGGACTTGCAATAACAACAATGCTATTTTAATTATTCTGTGGACATTTGTCTTCCAACTGGAATCATTTGTGAACACTAATTGTGATGCTCATTGAACTGCTTGCTAAGCTGATATTCCAATCATAAATATACAGTATGTCATTGAGTATTATGCAATTGAATTTAACTATTGATACTCTAAAAGGGAAAGGGGAGGAGTGGAAGAACTTCAATAACACATGCAAGGTGCCCATAGCTCTTCTCTCTCTCAATCACTCTCTTTTTCAAAAGTACAGTCATTTAATTTGGAAAGGTACCTTTTTTTTCCATTTCTGGCAGGCTTCTGTGCTCCTTCATCCGTGAAATTAATGGTCCCGGTCCAATTTGTCGATTCGTCTCCATTGTGCCGGCTAAACTGTAGCCCACTAATAAGAAAATGAGTCAGTTGGTATTTGATTTATTTACGTTTATGTTTTTAAAAACCCCCCATACATACAGTGATTCATTTTTTTTAAATGTAAAGATTTCTTCTCCATCTTATTTGACATGTTTAAATTGGTTTTTATAAACGTATTTTCAGATATGAAGGGGAGAGCTTTCAAAAACACATTTAAAAAATGGAAAGCTATCCGTATTTCTATCGCGCAATACATTTGTGTCAACCCAAACAAAATGACAGCAGAAACTGCTGCACAATCATTAGCAATTCAAATAGTTACAAATAACAAAAATCATAAATTGGAGGTTTTTTGTATGTATTTTCAAACATTTTATGGCAGCACTGAAGCTCCCTTGGAAATGATGGGAGATCTGAGTGAAGACAGAAGGACAGACTGACCAGAAAAGAGAAAGATCAAGAGAATCAGAGATGAGATGGACTTCATGTACCAGAGCATGTGTGACTCAAAATACAAACAGGACATGGACAACACAGGCACCATAGCTGAAATTATTGTTCTATGTAATACATCTGGGATTTTAAAATAGAAGGTTATGACTGTATTTAGAGATGATGCTCTGCTGCTTTAGTAATTAACTCATGAATATTTTGTTTTTTTGAATTTTTACAATTCTGGGATCCACAATCAAGCACTGCAAAGAGATTGCACATGTCTGCATACTTCTACTTTATGGACTTTTGCCCAACAGTCTCCAAACAAAAATTCATGACATTACTCAACCTGAGTAAAAACAATTCTTTAATTTTGAGATGCTTTGTAGGAATGTGATATGTGTCTGGGCCATGGTCACAAAGGGAAAAAAAGGATTTCTGATACAATTATGAATTGAATACAATCAAATCCCATATGTAAAGATTTATATAAGTACATAAAAATTCATATTGTTCCACAACGCATGATTACCTATGATATATTTTCATTAATTTCATCCTGTTTAGCTAATTTTTTACTTTTATCTTGAAATGACATTGCTGGTCCTTCCAAAGACAATGACAAGTTACAACCTACAGTATACATCATGATGACCTTATACACTGTAGGTTTCAGAATTATTATTTAGAGAGTGCTGTAATGATGACAAAAAATACCATGTAAAGACTAAAGAAAATGGCTTTTAGATGACGCAGGTTTTTTTCTTTACCTTCTCTGATAGTGAATTTGCTGATGACATTTATTGCCAGTAATGTATTACATATCTTCACCTAACATCTTAATGCATTTGGTCCATATGCATTAAGTTCAAATTTAATTAGAAATGTACATTTATCCATAGATTCCTCAAACCATTATGTCAATAGGCAGAAACAGCCTGGTATAATTTGAAATTTCACATTAAGCAATTTCTGAAACATTTTCGTATAATTTAGGATGCAATTTTCTAAATCACCAACAACTGATCTTTAAACAACTGAGTTAAATTAAGTAGAACAGTTGTATTTCTTGAGTGCTATTTTGTTAGAGGAAAAAAAGCACTTACAGTATGCTGTCAACAAATCAACATGGTTTAAATGAATTATTAACAGGCTTGCTTTTCGTACATTATGTTACAACTGCAGAGAGAACGCAAAATGCTTCAGAAACAGTAGTAAAGAAAATATGCTGTTCTGGAACTGGTAAAGGTTTATTCTATGCTGAAAAGAAAACAAAATTTCAGCTTTGGAGCCGTCTTCAGGTGTCTTCAAAAAAATGTTGTGTCTATTTTCTTTTCCTTTCAGTGTGGAATAAATCTTTACTTGTTCCTTTGCAGCCTACACATGCTGATGCAGCTTCCTACTTGAATATACTCAGTAAAATACATTACTGATATTCTGTAATTCTAGAATTTAAATATTGCACATTTTTAAAAGTATCCATAAAATACCCAAGAATCTGAAAGAGTAAACGTAGATGAGTCAATGCTTTTTGGAAGTCTAAATATAGGTTGTATATGTAAAGGAACAGGTAGAGGGTTATTTCAGGCTGAAAGGAAAAGAAAAGAAACACATTTCAGCTGTGGAGCCTTCTTTGGGTGTCTTTAAAAAATGTTTCTTTTTTAGCGTGTAATAAACCTTTATGTTACTTTACAGCCTATGCAGGCTGATTCAGCTACTGTACCTATGCAAAATACCTGAATATGCACTGTTTTACTTTTTACTGTACTGTTTTACATTACTGCTTTTACTTGTTTAAAGAACTTATCTTTATGTCTGTTTAAAGTAAGTTATATAGAACCTACCTTTTATTAAAGCATGAAACTTAAACAAATGACTCCTAAAATGTAAGAATAAATGAGAGGAAATGTATACAGTATGTATTTCAGACAGTAAAGCTCAGTTGAGCTCATTATTCACTTGCTTTATTGGTCACCTACACCCCATCTTAAACTACACCAGATGCGAAGGGAGTTTATAGTGCAATGGTCAATCTGACTGAAATGAAGACACTGATATGGTCTGAGTATAGTTTTTCTTGTTTTTAAGTTATATAAAATGGCTTCAGATTTGGGTCGTGAGCTATGGCAAGTTACATATTGCTTTTCACCTTTGGGAGAGTTCAGAGACAACAAAATGGACATTGTTCGACAGAGCATCGCATGCCTACATGTGTTCCATAGTATCATCTGATTGTATCATATTAATGCATCCATGCTTTCTAATGCAGTACAAGACAGTTTTACATTTGAATATTTAGATGGGTTGGAAGTCACAAGTAAGGACAGTTCCACTGTGTCTTTCTGCTGTCCACTTGGTTACATTTCAGCTAAATTAAATTCTGAGTTCTGAAACTAACTACTTGGTAGCTGAAATGAGACAGATTGGACAGCAGAAGATGAAACAGATACTCACAGTTGGAGGTTTTGATCTCATCATCTTCACCAGGGAAGATTCTCTAATTTTTCAATTGTATGGACTTTTCATAATTTTTTCAGAATACAAAAATGAAAACTATAGGTATATAATAAATTAATTGCTTATCCTTCTATCTATTATCTATAGATAATACATTGCTTTTGACTCTACTATAAACCATTTTAAGAAAAATATGTTTTTTGAGACAGGCATAAATGCCAAAAGGTATGTTGGCAACTCGCTTATTGATTTGTACCTTGCTACTGAAAGAATGTTATAAATGTTATAAAAGCTAACAAACTGCTTGTCTTTTAGCTTCCTAACTGCTTATATCCCTGGCAAGAGGAAACATACAGTACCAGGGGGCATCTATAGGTCAGTGGAAAAGTACAGCTCATGTCTTAAATGTAGTAAAAAGGGAAGTCGAATGTCTTGTTTTGTGAATGTAAGCAATAATGAAAGTTTTAACAAGAAGTTGTTTTCCGCTACCCAAGCTTGACTAAAAAACTAATGGTTCGTTTTAGGGATTAGGTAATCTATGTTAAAGGTAGGAAGCTTCTCTGTTACTGTGTATAAAAAGCGCTGGGTAACGCTGGGTAACGTCTTTCAGAGAGATCAGCTTTTGCAGGTTGATCTCCCGTATGCATACAAATAAACAGCTCTTCTTTCACCAACAATTGGACTCTGACATTTTAATGTTTCTTCAGTAAATTTTGATTATTCTAACATTTTCCAACAGACATATTTTATAATAATAAACATCAATTAAGCATTCAATGGATAGATCTTTATTATTTCAATATAGAACATAAAATGAGCATATTTGCCTCTCTCTCCTCAACCTGTATTGGTTAAATATTGCATATATTGATAATTGTTAATATATATTTTTCTATGAGCAATACTTCATTTTGAATAAAACACTGTTTATAATACAAAGGAACAAGTAATAGGTTTATTCCATGCTGAAAAAAAAGAAGAAAGAGAACACAACGTTTCGGCCGTGGAGCCTTCTTCACCATGTTTTGTATTTTTCCAAATTAAACTGAATGATGGTTAATGTGACAATCACTCCACACTGCAGAAACTACACTTTAATTTGAACAAATCAATTTTCAAATCTGGAACACTTCAATATCCAGGCAATCCAGGAGCTTGAGTTCATGCTGACCTTACCAGATTACCACCTACAGAGGAATTTAATTCATGGTTAACGTGTTTATTGCAAACACATAGATATCATTGGAAGTTATTTGTCCAGAGAAAAGGACAAATTTCTGCATGGTTGGAGTATATTTTGCATTTTAATGCACTGAAAGTACAAAAGATTTCATTTTCAACAAATACAACAAAAACTATCAAATATGTATTCTGAAGCTCATACATATGCAGAAGTAAGATGAATACTAATCTTTCTACATCTTAAATTTCGTAAACATCCATTCATCCATCTTCTAACAATTTCTTGAGCCCATCCCAGCATGCAACTGGCACAAGGCAGGATACACTCTGGATGGGCCACCAGACCACCATAAGGCAGAGACATGCACACACTCACTCCTTGGGCCAATTTTCCCAGAAGCAAATTAGCCTAGCAGTTTATCAACAAAGGGAGAACATACAAAGTCTGCACAGATAGCACCCCCAGATTTAGAATTGAACCCAGGGCCCCAGTGCTGCTAGCCAGCAATGCTAAACAGTGTGCCACCATGCCACCATTTCATAAAAATGTTAAATAATAATATTAGTGGCATTATGAGAAAGCAGATCTATGGTGGTCAAAGTCATTTTTTTCAGTCATGATTCATGCTTCAAATGTACCTTGAACATACAGTATAGTTTTAGATAATACAATCTAATGGTAGACTCCGCTGAGCAGAGAAGATTTATAACAGAACACAGAAAACATGCCTACACATGGTTTTTCTATACTAGCTGTTTTCTAACACATTCAGTCTTATAACATAAGCAATACATTCTCACTACTCAAACAATAACACAAAAGCATACTGTACATAGTACCTACAGGGCCCTTCATTTCCTACAACAAACCCTGAAAATAACATGGATTATATTGTGAAGAGCAATATAGTGAAAATGTGTTTATCATGTGCAGGGCAATGTAGTGGAAATGTACATCTCATTTGTGATATCAGTGACATCTTTATGAATGCAACACTCATTGCTGAGCTCTGACTACTCAAAAGCATTGCGAAAGGTATGAACATGTTTCTGTAAAGAAAAAAGAAACATCAAACAATTGCAATGTCATTTTTTTAACTTTGTTTTCTTGTTTGGTTTATTCCAATAAAACACATCTATTATAAAGTCAATTTGCATTTATGAAAAAATTGAGTCTGGCACTTGCTACAAGAGAGAAAGACAGAGACACAGAGACAGACACAGATAACAGTTGTGATGCAGCTGCCAAAAAAATAAAATTATCTGTAATTTCAAATGATTCTTGGCATTTGTTCTTGTTCAATTAGATAACATTTTAAAACATGATACAGCACTTAAGTACATATAATAAACAGCAAACTGTCTTTCTTCTTGAATGGTTCTTTTAATTTAAACACTTTCATACATACAGTAATATGAATAGACCTGCAGGTTGTTAAGAGCCAGAGAAGCCAATTCTTCTAAGCAGTGCAATATTCTTCCCTGTTGTACCACTTAACAAACTGAGTCAAGGTCGTAGAAATCACAGTTGCCGCCTAACCCCCCTGGGAGAATATTAGATTTACAGAGAAATCTAAAATTAAGCAAGCACTTAAGAATAATACAGTACAGTACGTGTGAGAAACAGATTATAGTTTTCATTCTCATAAAAACATTCCAAGGTATATCACTATTCAAAGACCTACAGTCCATTATCTCACACCTGAATCTCATTGACTGAATTTGTGACATTGGCAGTTATGTGTTCAGTTCCTTACTAAACATCGACTTGTACATCAAAGAGATGTTATTGAGATGCCCTTTTTCAGCTTTCTGTGGAAAATGATACAGTATATCCACCTTTGCTACCAATATATAACTGGCTGTTTAAGTGGGGCTCTGTAGTGCCATCACCTCTTAAAGAGGAGACAAAATGAGTAGAAAAGCCTGCATTACATGTTCTAAGCAAAAGCTTCTTAATTGGCTCAAACAAACATATCTTCCTCGGTGGCTTAATGTGGCAAATGATTTGTTCATTTGTAAATTAATTTGAAGCTGCATTTTCCTTCTTAAACATACAAATGCACACACTGTGCACCATTTTCAAAAGGCTAAGTATCTCAAAATGGAATGAAGCCCAGTAAATATTATACTGAGAAATGCATCCCAGAAACACAGATTGATTCCCTTCCTACATTGTTAGAGTCACCAATTAAATTAATACTGTACTATCAGGGCCTTTTTGAAAGAAAAAAAAACACTATGCAGTATAACCTTTATTTAATGAAAATTTCAAGCTGTTCTTTGACACACACTTTTAAAATACAGTATAATGACAACACACATACTCTAAGAGATACCTTCAACATAATTTGTCCAACAAAGCAAGCCTACAAGGAGCTTACGAGAATCAATAAGATATCTACTCAACAGTAAAACTGTGAAAGACAAATACTATAACCTACAGTTGTCTGAGAGAACACTCTCTTATTAGCATCTGTGACAATAGAAACAGTTAATATGAAAACAAGGCAATTCATTGTTCAGTAAACAAAGTCAAATTTCTATCAGATTACCATCCCACAAACCACAAAAATACTTTTTATACTGTGAACAGAATATTCACTAGTCTAATGGACGGTAAATCACTATAAACATTCATGACCATTGTCTAACAGAATGAGGTCCTGTGCAGAAAGCAGTCAATGAGGATGACTATTTACTCCACAATCTCAAAAGAAAAAACTTGAGCCTATTACCACAAACCTACCGGAAAAAAGTAACAGCTTCATAATAAATTGTCTCCTTTATATTAAGAAATCCCTGCTGAAATGATGTAATTTGAAGCATTAACTCTACAGTTCCTGTACAGTAGATCAAAGCCCAAAAGGAATTAGAAATTGTGTCCTTGAGAGACTTGTGGTAAAATAAATGTTGCTGATTGTTAGTGTTAAAGTTCAGGATAGAAAACTGAGTAGTGTCAATGCCAGAAATGGTCAACCCTATTCCTGAAAAGCCATAATCTAGCCATCTTTATACTGTAGGCTAGTCTAACTTTAATCTTCTAATCTTCAATTTCCATATACTGTACTTGAAACACTTTTATTTTAACCACTTAACCAGGTGATTTGTTATGTAGTTTAGAGATGTAATCACACTATTGTGATCACAATGATTACGTTTGACTTACTAGAACCAATGTATTTACAAAACATCCATTTGTTCCAAGTCCTTAAAAATGTGTTATAAGATTGACATATAACCCCTGCTAGATAGCGCCTATAGATCTAGTGTTGACCAACCCTGACCTACGGTATGTCTTACTTTTCTAACCTTTCTCCCACCATCCAAAGTATGTTGAAGAATTGCAGGACTCTTTTTTAACTGAACCTTTTAATTACCAAATGAGCAAGTTTTAATCATCTGAAAAAAGGAGGAAGAATGCCTTAATGTTTTCATAATAACAATTTTCAACAATGAGACAAATAGCCGGCACTCATATTTATATGAAAAGTATAAAAAGAATCCATGGCTAGGACTATAAAACTGACATTTTTTCATTTCAACCTATCATATGACATGGAAGGCAGTAACAACATAGTACATAATGTTGTGTGAATCACAAAATATTTACAGAACTTTTCCTGTATTATTAAAATTCCCTAGCCAATTTTTAAATAACAATGAAAGACAATTACCAACATTCCAAGGGCTCAGTGTATCAATGCTTCATTTATAAATACGTGCTACTGTTCAAGCGATTTAAAATACCACAAATAACAAAAATAAAATAATAATTGAAAATAAAACAGAGGAAATTAACCTCTGCTCAACTGATACAAATTAGGGTGTCCAAATGGAAAATAATCCGTTATAGACATGGTTTTCCGCTTTCTTTCAAGGAATATCTTGGTAAACTCCTCGATGCATAAACCATCTTTACTATACACTATATTAGCCAAATGGAACACATGTTTAACTCGACTGCTGATGTTTCTAACTTAAATTAATATAAAACCCAAAGTCGAAAATATTTTTATTTTACGTATGGCTACCCAATCCTAAATGAAATGACATAAACTGTAATCGCACACTGTATTAAAAAAATCAAAGGAATAAGCGCTATTATAGATCACAGGAGATCATATCCTGTGTAAACCTATATACTTACTAATTAGTATTCTATTTTCTACAATATTTTTATACCACATATTTTTATTTTAATAATAATACATGTGTTAAACCAATTATATGTTCAAAGACGGATTTAAACCAATCCATGTAAAACAAATGTATACATAGGTTTATTATAACCTAACCTTAATACTGTGGATGCTTATGAATACACTGATACACATTGTAATTTGAAAAGGCACCACCTTAATTCTCCCCCCAAAATAAAGTTTAATATCGTTTCGGGATGTCTTTTTTCGCGTCATTTCGATCAAACCTGGCTAACTTTTAAAAAAGGATAGGCTCAACGTACCTCTTTAAGTAGTTTTTCCCATAAATGATCTGTTGTAATAAAGTAACCAGTCCAAATGCACAAATAAAAATAAAACAAAGCGATCTGTTTCCTAGCAAATCTCTCCCGGAAGGGTCCGAGTATCCCATTGTTTCCTCTGGAATCCAGTGATTTAAGATAACAACCATAAAATAAGCGTCTATTTTATGTGACCCAAACGCGACACAATCAGACTTGGTCACTCATATTTGCCCAGTGTAGCGTTCAGGACGGCATTGCCTTAACTTCACTATACTGTACGTCAACAGCAAATGTGCTTACTGGCCACAAAAGCAATTATTGCTGTTTTCTATGTATATCTTCCGAAGCGCTCGTAGTGAGACCAAAAAAATCCGTCCCCATTGAGACGGCAAACCAAAGAAATTGAAATCTCGTTACATTAGGTTCTCAAATTGTAAAGCCCCACTCATCTTGTACACTGTCAAATGATGTCTGGTAGGTAGGCAAATGCAAAGGAGAACCTCGGCTCGATCACTGCATTACAGCTTCTCCCAGCAGTCTGCGAGAGGAACGCAGCCAGTTCCAATTTTGTTCAGTGATCCAAACAGAAGGTATTGGCTTCCAGACGTGACTGGGATTCACTATTGCGAGTCAAAGAAGACCGTGTGGGTTGCGTCTAATAAGCAAGCGCCTTTTTTACCGCATTTCATTGTACATTTACACGAACATAACTATTAGCTCTCTGTAGTAAGATAGGAATGACGATAGGTTTGGATAGCATGAGTGTTTTTGAAGACAGCACAGTTCATTTAGCCTGCTCCTCAAGTCATCGGTGAAAACAAGGTCACAATTGCATCCCTTCAAGGACAGCTGGTAGCTCCGCCTGCATACTGATTTACTGCACACAATACATACAGTATATACTGTACTGTATATAGGCAACAATGAGTAATCGCTATTCTTTTCAATGTATTTAATTTTTGATTTTGTTTAATTTTTTTTTCAGATGAAATGACAAAAGCTAAAAACAAATTACCCTGTGAAATATGAAATATTTAACAATTTCTTACGAAAACAAAGATTATAACGCTGCCCTCACCAAGTGAGAAAGGTGTGACAACAGAATCAGGAATAGATGCCCTACTGTACAAACTCAGGAAGACAGTCAAGATATTCCCGAAAACCTTGAACCAAAAAAGGCTTTGGCAATATACAACAGCTTTTTAAAGCATCAATGTGACATTGATGCTTTAAAAAGCTGTTGTATATTGCCAAAGCCTTTTTTGGTTCAAGGTTTTCGGGAATATCTTGACTGTCTTCCTGAGTTTGTACAGTAGGGCAATCTCATTATTCCCAATTCACAGTGTTATTGAGTTCAATAAGTATTCTATTTTCAGACTAAAGTACTTTGTCCAATCTCCAGGGGTACAAGGAATTGTCCCATTTTGGTTAATCTAATGTCATTTTGCAGATGATGAACATTTTGGCCTCTTTGTACATCTTTGAATGTCCAATTTAATTTTGCCCTTTTTTCCTGTTCTCCATTTGTTACATGCCGTAAAGCTCTGTATGTGTATTTATTTGCAGCTTTTCAATGACACAACTTTGTAGCATGTTTGTTTGTTGTTTTACCTCTGACATTTACACAGATGGCAATTGTAAAGCCATCCAAGTCAGGAAGCTATGCATCCTGAATCTACAGTATCTTCTGTTTCATTGGCAGAATTAACCAGCTCCTGTGAAGAGACATTCTTCTTCTTTATTTTTATTTTTACATTCTTATTTTTATACTACATTTTTATATTCAATGACTATGAATATGAATAAATTATAAAAGCTTCATGGTGATTCATATTTTTATCAGGTGTGCCGAAGTGTAGCAGGCACCTCGTTCATCTGTCAAATATTCTATTTTAAAATCTTTTTAAATCCCTTCATCCCTAAGATATTATTTGATTTCTTAGCATTTAATGAAATTAAGGGTGTTTATTTTTCAGTGAGCCCAAAATTGTTTTCCTAATATTGCAAAGCTGATTTGTACTGCATTGGATATTTTCTGATATGGACATGTATACATTATAAAATGTGAAAGGAACATTTTAGCAACAGTTATTTGAAAGACTTGAAATGGTGCATATAAAAGGTATAAATTCAGACTTATTTTCATTGATCTTTATGTGAGACTATGTGAGACACCACATTTGTTTTAAACTAGCTACATTGTACAGTATATATAATTTATTAGGAACAAGTAATAGATTTATTCCATGCTGAAAAGAGAAGAAATAAAACCCTGAAGAAGGCTACACGGCTGAAACGTTTTGTTTTCTTTCTTCTCTTTTAAGCATGGAATAGACCTATTACATGTTCCTTTGCAGTCTACACATGCTAAAGCAGTTACCCTACTGAACTATATAAATTATTGCTTAATATGTTTACATCTAGTAATGTATTCGTTAATTTGCTACTGTATGTTATTGCCATTTTATTATGTTTTCATAAAAATGACTTATAATAACATGCATCGATCAAAATATCCTAGGTTCTTCTTAGCCTTCTTTCAAGTAAATTTTGGTTCCTAATTAATTTGGACAGTTCCAAAAGAGCTTCAAGTATTAGGTTTATTCCATGCTGAAAAAAAGAAGAGAGAAAACACAATGTTTCGTCCGTGGAGCCTTCTTCAGGTGTGAGAGACACAAGGCAGTAGGCAAAGGTAATGTAGCAGGAGAACAAAGGCTGGGAGGGAGGAGGAGTGAGAGGCGGGAGCAGGGGACAGAAAGAGAGGCCAATCAAGAGGTGTGAAGTCAGAATGGGTGTAGAGTGGTGTGAAATGAAACTTCCAATGAATAGAGAGAATTTAGAAAAAAAGTAGTCTGTCGTTAAGAGAAGGGGGAATGTGTGATCCTAGCTGCAGAATACGTTTTGTTTTGGTAGTCTTTCTGATGTATGAGTTCGGAAAACCGTCTTTGAGAACACAGATGGAGAGATTAGAGTGGTCGTGGCTGCCAGAGGTGAAATGAGAAACAATGGGCTTGGAGAGATCTTTAATCTTCACAGCCCTGACATGTTCTCTGAAGCGGTCTCCTAGTCTCCTTCCTGTTTCTCCAATGTAGATGGCTGGGCATTTACTGCAAGAGATACAGTAAATAAGGTTGCTGGAGGTTCAAGATACCCTCTGGGTGATGCGGAATTGTCCTGAGAGGCCTTGAATGAGTGTGGTGTTGGATGTATAATGTATTTGCAGGTGAGACAGCGAGCTCTTTTGCAAGGGAAAGTGCCTGGTGTGGATGGTTGCTGAGGGCGGTCAAGGGAGCTGTGAACAAGAAGGTTGTGCAGATTAGGTGCTCAGCGATATGAGATGATGGGGCGGTCACAAAAGAGGGCCCCAGTGGAGGGATCATCCTGTAGGATGGAAAAGTTGTCGTTAATAGTCCTGGGGATAGGAAGTGTGTTAGGGTGGTAGGGAAGCACCAAAGGAATACGGTTGTTACGGCAGGAGTTCCTGATTGGGTTGATGGTCCGAGGGGTGTTTTTGGCTCGGGCAAGGGCCCTGTCAATAACACTGCTGGGGTATCCTCTGTTGAAGGAAAAAGGAGTACATTTTGAGGGCTTGGTTCTCGAAGTCGATGTTGTTGCTGCATAATCGTCCTAGCCGAAGGAACTGTGAAAAGGGGAGAGAGTTTTAAGTGTGTTTGGGGTGAAATAAGCTGTACATGAGATAGCTGTGTGAATCTGTGGGTTTGTAATAAACTGAAGTGGAGAGTCGGGGGTAGCTGATGGAGAAGTTGATGTCTAGAAACGAAAGAGCAGTGGAAAATATGTTAACTGTATATTTGAGGAACAGGTGGAAGTTGGTGAAATGGTGCAGGAAGCACTCAAGCTGATCGTTGGAGCATGTGGCGGCACCGACGCAGTCATCAATATAACGCTTGTAGAGGTCAGGGACATAGCCAGTGTAGGAAGCGAAGAAGCGTTCTTCTACCCAGCCGAGGTCAGGGACATAGCCAGTGTAGGAAGCGAAGAAGCGTTCTTCTACCCAGCTTACAAAAATATTGGCATAGCTGGGTCCCATTCTGGTGCCCATGGCAACTCCACTCACCTGCTGGTAAAAAAGATTATTGAAAGAGAATGCGTTCAGTGTGAGGACCAATTCTGCAAGGCGTACCAGGGGGTGGGTGGATCAAGCACTGTGCATTTGTGCAGCGTGTGCTTGAGGGCTGTAAGGCCATCATTATGGGGAAAAAGTTGGAGCGTGTGGTTGGTGTCTTACAAATGGTGTCTACAATCAACAATTCTTTTATTATTCTTTGGCCAGAGTCAAATCGAAACTTCAGCATATTCACTGATCGCCAACAGAAAATGTATTGCCTGATACATTTCTGAAACTTTCTTTGTGCCAAATGTTTTTGCATTTATGCTTTATGAAATGTAAAATCACAAAATTGTGGGTCTGAAATTGAGATTGGCAGATGTGCCAAAGGTTCAGAAACGCTTCATTTATCTTGGTCTATCTAAGTAAAAATGTAATACACATTGTGTTATAAGCAGAACCCCTGATGACAAATTAATTACTGTTATATAAAAACCTTTCTCAAATTAAGGAAGACATTCATTTTACTGCCGTTAGTTTTCAGTACTATATAACTGTACTTTAGTATTTTTTTAAAAAATTAATGACACATTCTCACAAGCACATTAGTTTTATTAATTTCTGTTTATATGTAATCAGGGCCAGCCCCAGCTGTTTGGGGGCCCTGTGCAAGATCTTGAAAATGTTGACCCTCCACATTGCAATTTGCACATTCACTACTATTCACTACTATCGGCTCCCACCCCAACCTTATTTTACTAGGCACTGTAGAATAATTAAATAAATGAATCACATAACTAGAAAACTTGTATTAACCGGCTTTGGAGAACATATAATAAATAACTTACAAACAAGAAGAAAAAGCACACCTTTTACAAACATGACGCTTTTTAATATTAAAAGTAATAACATGAAAAATAAATCTGTTAACTTTCTAGTAAAACACTTCAGTATTTCTACATGTCGAGCTAGAAAATGTGGCTTGTTTACTGTTCACTACTTACATGGATCTGATCGACTTAAAACTAAATGAAATACAAAAACATTATTACAATGACTTGATTTGGCATGCCTCAGTTTTTACATCACTTATCCTGCTCTTCTTTTCTCAGTGCTGGATAGGCACATCCTTTTGCAGGACAATGTGCGTTTACCAGTTGCAACTACCTAATTTTAATTCAAGACTATTACAACATTCTGAAGTTTGCAACACAAGGAAAAGGTCACTAGTAATGTTTCATTACACGTTAGATGTAAAGAAAGAGTAATTAAACTAATCATAAGATTTTCTACTTTCTGAAATTAAACAAACAGCATTTGGTGTAGCAGCAGCTGAAATCACACTGATTGTCAGTTTACAGAGAAGAAGACGGTGAAAAAAACCACTACAGTACATTTACAATAATATTATCATTTATAACTGTATTTTACAGCCTAGATTAGCACAGCGGCAACAGAAAGAGCCACTGGAGGGGATATTTTCGCTCCAGTTTGTGAATGTGCTGATGAAAAAAAACTGTTCTGTTGCACGTTCAAGTGGCCCCTGGTGTCTGTGGGGCCCCAGGCGGTTGCCTTGTTCTCTTAAGCCAAGGGCCAGCCCTGAATGTATTTAAACCAGTGTGAACTCTCTGAATGAGCATGCCTGTTCATGGTCTTTTTACAATTGGCACAGCTTAAACATAATCATCTTAAACAAATTCAGGTGATGACCCTACTTGTAATTATTACAGGAATTGAATTTTTGATCCACATGATGCATTCTCACAGCAGACAACTTGTGCATTTCTAACAGTGGCCAAAAATCAATCTTAAATGTAATCAGAAGAATACAAAAATGCATGTTTCACATTACATTAACAGGAGTGCGAATTAACTTGAGATTTGAGTCTGAACTATTCAGAATTTGTAGCAGTGTAAACTGGCACTGTAAATTACTGTATCCCCACCACACAAACATGCATGTGTGTCTCCATTTATTTCAAACATTTGTACTAAACGGTACAACAAAATTTAGGCTACATTACATTTAAATCATGCTTGACTTCATTACAGAATATCCAATACAATATGTTTGTATGAAACATCTATTCTATAATTTTATGCAATTCAAGCTTTCAATCTGCAGTTAGAAAAAAAATGATAACATGCCTTTTCACTTTTCTTACTTTCTCTTTTCACAAGTATCATGTTTTTCATAGGAGATAAAACTAGCTTCTTTTAACAGGAGTATCCAATATGTACAGTAAACCTTATTAAGCTTCATAGTCTTTGCTTAAGGCAGATCATGTGTCTGTTTCTTTGCACATTAACTCTCTCCGGGGGTAGAATGTCCCTGACAATGATATTTCTAAAAGGCTTATTGCTACTATACTCTTTTTCTTTAGGAGAAACAACCCTTCTGTTTCCACCTCTTTCCATTTGCTGTGCTCAAATTTGAGGTTATAAATAAGTGTTTAATTTAGTTTACAAATATGTTTTATAAATCAATAAAGATAGCTTTAAATGAATGTATGTATGTATACATACAGTATATAATAGCATAATTAGCCATTTGAACCTTACATATTCTTGCAACTGTATGTACAATTCTTCTTCTGGCTAAAAATTGTATTGGTATATAAAGAACGGTTTACCTTTAGAAAACATAATGATGATATTTTTATATACCGCATGCAAAAATAAATCCCTTCTCATTACTAAATCTACACATGCTTTCATTAATCCAGTCACTGATTATAACCTCTGCTCTCAGGTCCTTTCACTACTGCTTCATCACTTTGCCCACAAGATATATTTAATGTAAAAGCTGCAGCTCTCTGGAAACAAGAAGGGAGGCAAAATATTCTAAACTGATATAAGCATATCACTTAAAATGTAAGTTTAGGGCTTATTACTTTCATACTTATTCATACATTATTATGACTAATTCTGTCATTATTTGGATAAATAAAAAAAAACTTTATTTTTTCCAAACCAAAATCATAACAAAATGATATGTCTCCACTCCGGATACCTGTTTATGTGATACTATGCACATGTTTAAATAAAAAATAAAAAAAATAAAAAAAGGATTTCATATGAAGATACACAGGGTGTATTTGTAAGAATTCACATTTGTGTTCTCAGTGAATCTGTTATTCATGTCTCAAAATGGGACCTTTGAGGGTTATACTGGAGATGTTGTCTTCTTACATAAAAGAGCAACACCTCTATATCTCTGCAGGGCTGTGCTATGCTTCTCTTTGTGCTGAACCTCAGTGACTCATTTGGCAAAGAGGTTTGCTACAAGCTTGTATTCAATCTAGTCCTACTGACTTTGTGCATTAAAACACAAGCCATGTACAAAAGCAGTGCCAGTGACAGTAAATACACATTGGAGCAAAGCGGCAGCCATGACATGGATTGTGACCTTTGCTGCTTCAGTGAAATGGCTTAAAGTTTTCTGAGACTGATAGTTTGTAAGAATTTCCGACTGTTAGATGCCAAGTTCTGAATTGTCTGCAGTACAATTATGTTCAAAGGGCGTGTATTTTGAGTTACTGTTTTAAACAACTTATACAGGTATGTGCATTGTTTTTGCAGGTTAACTAACTGGGCTAAGGGGACCTGTTTGGGGGAAGGGAAAGGAAAATGAAAGGGTCCACAAAAATATTGCATGCAAATGAGAAGACTTTGCTGCAGCTTTAAAAGCTGAAAGAATGAGCAAATTATAGAGGTACTGTATGTGAGGATTGTTGGTTTATTTCTGAATAAAAGTCTTTTTTGTAAATCAACCTTGTCTAATCAACTCACAGTACAATATTATGGTATTAAGGAGCAGTCTATTTAAAAATACACTCATATACAGTATACTGTATATATATTACTCTATAATCTTTCTCTTACTTTTCTAGGCAGCCATGCATATTTCAACAATTTTATTATTAAGTTGGCTGATGTTTAATTGTGTATTTAAAGAAATATGTATACAATGTGAGAAAGCACTTTATTAGGAAGCAATTTATTCTGTATTGGTATTGGGCCACACAGTTGTCATTGCACTCAGGGGTGATACTTCACAGGTCCATGGCCCTTGGTTCAATTCTGACAACGGGAAACTGTCTGTGTGGAGCTGGTGTATTCTCCAGGTGTCCCAGGTTCAGTCCACCTCCCACACACAAGCTGGCTAAGATCGATTGGCCACGCTTAACTGTTCCTGAGTTAGGGTCCTGTGACTAGGGTCCCATGTGCATTTAATTCTGCCTTGGACCCCGCATCAACCCTGCATCTGGCATGCTGCAACCCTCACCAGGAAAGTGTCTTACCAACAATGATGGATGGATGATTGGACATGGTGCTTAATAAGCAGTTCTAGAGAAGATACAATAAACTTGACAGTGCCCTAGTTAAGCTAAAACTGGGGCATTACATTACATATTCTGTGCTCCATGCCTCAGAAAGCATTTCCTTGTTGATGCCTCATAAAAGGTCTCCAGAAGGGCAACTGGTGCTAAAGGGCTTGTAGGACAAAAAACAGAATTAACTAGATCTGTACAGACACTAGCAACAGGACCTGAGGGAAGACGTGGCTGACATTGACCTCCAGCTATTATGTGTTGAACAATGGTCAGTGCTGGAAATATGGATTAATTAATTTTATATCTGACACAAAGTTTATTTCTTACAAAGAAACAAAGTACATACGCTCTAGGATTTGTGTAGCTTGACTGGTCTTTAAAATGGATTTGAAAGAATGTGTTCCACCATATGTTGTGCTTCAAAGGTTATTCAGGTCAGTAGTCTCCAACCCTGTTGTTGGGGAGCTCCAGTCTTTTGGGACGGTGATTAGTAGTTCATGATTATCTTAACTAATTAAACAATGGTCAATAAGGTCTGGTGGCTGTGAAGCCAATTGCAATGAAAATCAGAAAATTCAGTCCAGGATCAGCACTGAAAACCCTGTGTTTATGATAACAGTTAACATTATTTTATATTACACTTTATATATATAATTATTATTATTATTATTATTATTATTATTATTATTATATAAACCAGTTTGTGTCCTTTGCACAAAACCTAAGTTCTCATGTTAATATTTTCTTGGGAGAAGTTAGGATTGATTTTTGTTCATAAAGTGCTTTCAAACTTTTCTTGAGTGTGTTCATCAAAGTAACTTTTCAAAATACCCTATGAAATCTGTAGTAAGGTAATCTTGAATAATGTGATTTAGCGGATATTTATGTTGGTGTATGTACAAAAGAGAAGGTTCTGGCCTAGAAATTGTCTTAGAGGGAATTGTAGCCGGCTATCTTTTAGCAATGGACACTGCCATCTGGAGGAACTTTACTGTATATTAATTTCACTTGCATATAGAACAGTTACAAATGAGAGGAGACCATTTGACCCATCTAGTCCTTTTAGATGTTAAAATCCAGCACTTCCTTGAAAGAAACTAGGGCATCAGCTAGGTAACTTGTTCCATACTCCCACAAACTTAAGGGTGAAGAAGTACCTCCTGTTTTCAGTTGTAAAAGCACTTCCACTTTTCTTTCCACTTGTGAACTTTCTTCTTTTTCATGTTTCGTTGGTCATGCAGAAGAAGTCTGCTGGGACTTGTCTTCAGTCGTGTCTTGGTTTGGCACTGCTATGTTATGTCTTTGAGGATTTTGATTCCTTGTATTAGGTCCCCTTGTAGTTTTCTCTGTTCAAGATTAAACAAGATCATGTCCTTCATCAAGTCAATTTAGCACATTAATTTCCTCAATCTGTTTTCTCTATTGTGGTCAACAAAATTGTACACAGTTTACTAAGTGAGGCCTTACTAATGTACTACACAATTTTATAGCATCTTTTAAAATAAATGTTATACTTTAAAATACATCTCCTAACATTTTATTTGACTTTTTTGTTCTTTCAAATTGCTTAGAAGATGGAACAATATAAATGTTCCTTTCTGTTTCTCTCTTAACATTTCTAATATGTCCTTTTTATCAGTGCTTGCAATTCATAGTACTTCTTTTAAATATATTTGCTGTTTCCTTATCATTTTATAAAGTGCTTTATTTTATTAAGTGAACTATGGAACCTGTTGGGATACCATTTTTATCTTGATTTACTTTTTTTGGATAAGTTTGTTCAGTACTTCAAATCCCATTAAACTATTCACATCCATTCTATACAGAATCAATATTCATTATATCTAATTTTACTTCGTTTCATTTCTTCGAAGTCTGCTTTCATGGAACTGTGAACTTTGGAGCCAAGCGCAAGATAAGTATGCTTTCCGCATTGGCAAGACGTTTGGGCTGTATTTCTGCTCATAAAGCCTGACCTGCTTTTAAATTCTTAATGTTGGTATAGTTTTGGTCATATGTCTATTAAAAATAGACTTTAAAGTGTAATTAATATAGATCAAAAGTACGTTATGCAACGTTTTAAACAAACGCTTTTCTTACAAATATCTAACATTAATAGCACTGAATAGTAAATAACAGACTTGAAAAAGTTGGTTCCGAGTTTCCACCGGAAGAAAACGGAATTGATTTAGTGGAACACCAGACTCTTTTCCGGTCTCTATCGTGTCAGCCTCTGGAGGAAGATGGTGAGTGTTTCACGGCTGCCTTATAAAGGATCTTATAACATCGAAAATTTGGGTTGTTGTTTGTCTCTGAAATTGTAACAATGTGCTAGTGTAAGACGTATATATGCATTTTTAAGTAATATTTCGTAGGATGATGTCGAATTTACGTTTTTAAGCCTTTCTTCTTGAACATGTTTTTTTATAGTGTTTTCACTGGCTTTCAAGAAAACGAACAAAATTGCAACCATTTAGAATGTATTTTAATTACATTGCCAAAGCGCTCAATTTATATCTATTATATAATACACATACAAATTAAGCGAAAACGTGAAGTGGTAGCGTTATATAAAAAGTTCCAACGGGGTTGGCTCCGTAGGCCTTGATGCATGTCTTAATTATTAAAAATCTTAATCATAAACTTAATACGTTGTGGAATGTAAACGTTATTACACTGTGGTGGCACTTAATAGTAGTATTACGAAAATGTAATGCCAGTGGCTAATATTTCATTGTGAGCTGCATTATTGTGCTTTGGAAATGTTTCGGAAAAGTGTGCAGATGATCAATATACGAAACAGTCGCGATGTGTAATAACACTTCTGTACATTTTCTTCGGGGAACGTTTTCTGACAAAAAGAACTTGATTGAAGCGCGAAGTGTCTTGTCAGTGATGTTTTTTTAAAAAAATGTCTGAACTTATGAAAATACACTGATTCCACGTCTTAACTGAGACGAGACCTTCACTCTTCAGGAGGTGGTTTTTGATGCTACAGTCCCAAGTGGAACTGACTTTTTTTTTTTGTATTTGGCTTTTTCCTTTGTAGACGAAGGGAACATCGTCATTCGGGAAGCGTCGCAACAAGACGCACACACTGTGTCGCCGGTGTGGCTCCAAGGCCTATCATCTCCAGAAGTCCACTTGCGGAAAATGTGGATACCCAGCCAAGCGCAAGAGAAAGTGTAAGTGTGCTTGCCCCCATTGGCAAGAAGCAAGGGCGGTATTTCTGTCCGGAAAGCTTGTATTGCAAGAACATGGCTGGAAGTGCATGTTTCCAACCCATTCCTGTTAATCAGTTTTATGGTGTTATAATATACGTCTTTCACTCGAGAGCATGCTCAAGGCAGTGATGTACAAAAATGTCAAATGTGAAATTAAAAGAAACCTGATCGAAATTGATGACCGTTAAGAACGGGTAAGTTCTGAGACGAGGTTTAAAGACATCAGCAGAGGATGTGTTTTAAACATGAAGTGTAAAGCACTTGTAATACAGCTACTACTGAAAAGGCTCAGCCCCCCCCAGCATGCTTGAGTGTGTAGTCTTGGGAACGTTCAGGAGCCTGGAGCCAGCAGAATAGAGTGTGGGAGCTGTGGAGATAGTAACTTTTCAAGGTGCACAGGAGACAGATTCGTGTAGTGCCTGGTAGGTCAACAAGAGAATTGTAAAGTCAATACCGTAAAGAGGCTGGTAACCACTGCAGGTTTTTCAGCACCGAAGGAATATGTTTGTCTTTTCTAGGCTTGGTCAGCACTGATGCAGCACAGTTCTGGACATATAGTTCCTCAAATAAGTTTTTAGGTGATCCAGCTAGCAAAGCTTTGCAGTAGTCTAGTCTTGAGATGAAAGCATTAACTCTTTGGGTTGGAAGTGCTTTTTTTTTACCCTATTCCTCCTAAACAATGCTCACACTGCAGGTGGTTGAGCATCTATACCTGGTGAAGTCTACTTGGGAAGTCTAGTCCAGATTCCCTTCTAAGATGTTGGAAATCTGCAGGGCTGATTCTTTTTTAATAGATAGATAGATACTTTATTGATCCCGTGAGGGAAATTGCAGTGCAACAGCAGCTTAACACACACAACACAGCCACAGTGTAACGAATTATATAATAGTACAATACATGCAATACAAGAGTTACTCACAGTCTGGACACACAAGTGCAAACTAGAACAGAACAGTACACAGAAAATCGTATCACACGTATGAATATAAATAAAGAAGTAACCATAGATATAAATATCAATGTATTGCACAGGTCCCTGGCATATATTGCACAAAAGTGGTTGTAAACGGGAAAAAGAAAGAGAACAGGTGTAGCAGTACATGTGTATATGCGTTTAGTCCAGAAACAGGTCACTGTCGATGTTGCCCCTGCCAAGACGCAAGGTGGATGCGTTGTACAGTCTTATGGCAGACAGCAAGAATGACCTCCTGTAGCGCTCCCTGTCGCACCGTGGATGAATCAGTCTATTGCTGAACGTGCTCTTCATTCCTGCAAGCCTGTCATAGAGGGGATGGGAGAAGTTGTCCATGATGGCCTCTAGTTATATATACATTAACAATTTGACATAAATCAGCTGTAATCTTTCACGTATCACCCTGTTTGAGTCTAGCAAGAGAACCAGTTATCCAGCCTCTGTAAAACCATTCTGGATTCTCTTTGTCCCTTTTGCACAACTGCCATTTGACAGGATAGTTCGTCAATTGCTGGTGATGGGAACGCCACCTTAATCAAAGCTGGCTGTACAGCTCATTTGAAGAGACGGACGCTGGAAAGGAGTACATTGTCTTCACATTGTCCTACGTTGTATCTTGAAAAAATTGTTTCATGGGGTTAAGAGTAGATATTAAGACCTTTGGAAAATTTCCTCCTATCTTGCAGACAACTGGAGTGCCAAGGCCAAGAGGCGCAATACCACTGGAACAGGACGCATGAGGCATCTGAAGGTTGTGTACCGCAGGTTCAGGTGAGGATTGTTTGCTTTTAAAATGAGAACAAGGGTGACATCAAGCACAGAGTGGTTCCGATGAAGCATGTTCTGCTAAATTTTTAAGTGGGTTATGTTAATTGTTCACATAATAACTGAGTAGCTATCAGGAATTTTAACACGAAAATTTAACATGGTAGTTAAATTGTAAATGTAATTCCGTTTGAAGTAGCCTTGTAATCTGCACTTTGCTAGATGGTTTAAAAGGACAATCATCTGCTGGAGCTGATATTTTAAATACTAAATCTAGCTTTTAAGTCCAGTTTAAAAGAAATACTTCTCACATCCAGTAGTGTTTTCATATTGCTAGCTATGGATAAACTGGAAAAATAGCAGACAGTTACTGTTAATCGAGGCATCTAGGGCTTTGTTGATGGTAAGGCATCTAATTTGCTTATCACTAAATTTCTTAAGTATGAGTTGCAAACTAAACATTTAAGAAGACCAGTGGAGTTGCATAGGTTTCATTTTGAGAGAAATTAATTTGTTTATCTTGCATAACAAGTGATTGTGCTGTAGATAGAAAGTAAGAGCTTGCTGTAGGTTTGTGAAATCTGAGAGGTCAAGCTTCTGCTGTCAAGAAAAGAGCAGGATAAGAATGAAACAAATGTAAGTCAGTATACAGAATTGCAGAGCAGCCATTCATTTCCATCACTGATGATTGTTGATCACTGGCCATATTTTAATGCATAGATTTTACTTTTTGGTGGCATCATGTTTTATGCCTTAGTCAATTTAATGTAGGAAATGTAACAATTAGAAGTTGCAAGATTTTATGCATTCACTTAGACTTAAGGGTCAGTTTTAAAGCATGATGGATATGTATGTAGAATCTTGACCCTTTTCCTGTTCTTTTGCCAATCAGATGCAAACTTTTTATGACATGTAGCTAAAAAGCTATAAGTGGTTGAGTAACATTTTACCATTTTTATCGCACTAAACATAGTACTAAACATACTAGTACTCTTTTACGAACATGATACTGATGACATTTCATGTGCATATCTGTCCCGTGACTTTTTGTTGCAAAAAAATAACTTAAGACCGCTGCAGTTCTAAACAGCTTATCAATGATGTCCAAAAATAAATGTCTGAACAAATGACTTTACTGTGATTTCAGATTTTTACTGAGGTAAGCTGTAATAGTCTGCATGTGTAATCACATTGGCTTGTTGAGACTTGGCCACAGCTCTTGTCTTTAAGAGAGGTAGGCTACTGGGTTTAAGGCCGGGGACATGCACATTGCTCCACCTGGTGTCACTTTGTAATGTGACGCGGTTATCTGAGACACTAGAGCAGCATCTTGCTTTACATCTAAGTGGCACTTATGATTTCTTGCAAAGAAATATCTCAAGCACTGCTGGATAATGATCTAAGCTTATAACCCTATATATACATTAAGCCATTATTTCACATCTAGTAATACTTAATTCCCTGTTGTAACTGTTGAAGTTAATACTTAAAAAAAATATACTTTCATGTTAATTCAGCTCTTCCATTATGTTTTGATATTTGCTTCATGATAGTAAAACATCTTCTGTTGGTTAGTTTCTGATTCAGTGTACAGTCATGTTTCTCTTCTAGGAGAATACGTACAGTTGAAGGTTGAAAAAGTAGGTTTTCCTCTAGAAAGGAACTTGATATCTGGATTTTGGTTAAAGTGTTGCTGTACATCTCAAGGAGCAGAGTGCAGCAATACCCTTAGAAGTTACAAAATATGAGGAATAAAGTAAATTAGGTTTTCATCATAAGAGAAAGTCATAGAACACTAAAGGTCTTGAGGATTTTTGCAGTGATGCTAATGTGTGCCAACTTTGTAGTAACATTATGCTGTGCTGTTTTCTTTCAGAAACGGATTCCGCGAGGGAACAACCCCAAAACCTAAAAGAGCTGCAGTAGCAGCTTCCAGCTCCAGTTAGACAGACTGTTTAAAATAAATATGCTGTTTCAAAGTGATTGTGTTGTTTTTTTCTTCTCTGGTTACAAAGAGGAAACTCAATGGGGATTCATGATTATCAGTAAATATTATGAGTAAATTGGGCTATAGATCTTGAAAATCTTGAATTTGTAAATAGCCCTCTTTATGAATATGTCCTTAAGGAGTAGGCAACAATGAATGATTCTCTGATAACGGTTACTATATTGTGCCATGGTGTAGGCAAAAATGACATTGAGATGAGTGTCCAGAAACAAGCTTTACAAGTGTGAGGAATTATTACGACATACAAAGGCATCGATTCGACAATAATTCAGCTTCCCAATCAACAAATTTCAAGTCTATTACTTCTGATTGGATTGATAAAAATGTGCTTTTCTATTAGATGCATTGAAGATTCCTTAAGGAAATAGAGCAGCAGACAAAAATGCAAGAACCCAAGTGCATTTTGTGACGCATTTGGTTTTGGGCCAGATTGAGCCTGTAACTGAGGGAGTATTCAAACTGTTAAGGCAATTGGCTTTTGCAAGATCATCAGTGAAGCATATCCTGGACCACAAAATGAAACGCATCCAAGGTTCAGGCTAGGAGGTACATCATAATTGGTTGTTAAGACTTAATATGAGCTGTTTGGCTGTGATGGTGAATCTGATGACAACATTCTTAAAACTAGGAGTTTCTGGGAACTACTAGCAGTTAAAGCTGGAGGAGGGAAATGTCTTCATGTTTTGTGTAGTTTCTGTTCTTAAAGGAACAAAGACATTTCCTGGACTGGTAATGAGGGTTTTAAAATTTTATTTTAAAGGTCTGACCTCACTAATACTTATAAAATAGTTTCCATCTTTAACCCATTTTTTCTTATGAAAAGCAAAGAAAAATGGGTGAAGGGGAGACAAAAATTTGCTTTCATAGCTTCTGCATGAGCAAAGAATGATCTACCCATACATAAAACACATTTCTGTAAATAATAAATAAGTGTGATTTAATGCTGTATCAGTCTTCACCTACCTGACTATTTTGGCTGCAGGTAGACCTATGAATGTCACACTAGAAGATAGCTAGGGGTTTGGAAATTTTCATTAAGAAGGGGCAGTCCTGAACAGCTCTGCACCAGTTGTTTCTGAAAGTACAAAAAACCCACGGTCATGGAAATCCTGGATACGTTATGGAAAATGACATTTTATTTTCCACGCCTGGAAAGATTTTGAAAAATGATAAGTTTTGGAAAAGTCAAGGATTTTTTTTTAATTGACCCAATATGATCATGGCTGTATCATATAATTTTGTTCACAAGTTATGGAAAAATGACATTTTATTTTCCACGCCTGGAAAGATTTTGAAAAATGATAAGTTTTGGAAAAGTCAAGGATTTATTTTTAATTGACCCAATATGATCATGGCTGTATCATATAATTTTGTTCACAAGTTAGCACACTTTTAAAAAGAGGATGTGGCGTTGCTGTTGCTAACATTATGCATTATAGTGTTGCATCAGACCCTCTCGCAGGATTTTTATAGTTAAAAGTTAAACAATTAAAACCGAAAATATAAAGCCATCTTATTTACAGAAATCGTATATACAGAAATGTTTTTCCACACGGTGGAAATTTTGTCTTTCACTGGAAGAAAGGTGAATTTCAATATTACCTAACTGATCCAAATACAAATATGAGAAAATGTGTTTTCAGTGATCTCTGGTTAGCAGATGAAAAATACAAGCTCCACAAAGATGAAGACCCAGGACGTGCGAGACGTAAATTATGCAGAAAAAAAGTCAATGAAAAGTTTTGGAACTTTGTTGGTAAAAATGAGTGGGAACCCTGATAAAACCACTGTCACACTCTTATAAGGTAGGAGATGCACCCTTAAAGGTGACATCACAGAAAATGCAGAGGGTGGGTTAGCATCAGATCCTGCATGGAGTGCAGCTCGTTGTCATCCGTCACAAAGGCTTAAAGTCTGTAGCTATCACGCCTTGTTAACAGGCCGGGACATATTTCTGAGTTGCCTTTTATTCAAAAACTTGAACACTGTGGCAGTTCAGATACAACATCACCTTTCTCTCTGTACCTTTTCAGTCAGCTCACATGTAGATTTGGTGATTCTGGCCTTCTCTCTCAGGAGATCAGGCTCTTTACAGTACTTACAGTATACCATATACTGTGGTATACAACATACAGTGGTCCAGCGCCATGTCTGTGGAGCTCATTAATTAAACCATCAGACTGCGACAGTCAGCGTTTTCAAATTTCTATTAAAGCTAATCTTTTCACAAAAGCTTCTGATGTGTAATTCAGCCTTATTCTTCCTTTCACTAAATTAATTTGCTGTGCTTTTTCTTTTTCACTTTCTTCTTCTGTTCTAGTTTGTTGTACAGCGCTTTCAGTCCTAATAAGCAGTCAAAATACTGAATTAAAAAAATAAGTGTATATATATGTCCCACCTCAATTAAGAAAACGCGCAAACGATTAAAGATTCACTTCTCATTTATATAAATTCGTACAATTATACTTATATATAAGAAAACAAATATTGTATATATTTGAGTATTGTAATATGAAATGTCTGCTCTGTTCTCAGTGCAGGTGCTCTCAAAACTGTTAAACACCAACGCAAAAGTGTTGCCCAACTTCAAGCCGCTTGAAATTCGAGGGCTATGTAAAAAAATAACACCATTGCCTCTCTTCTTACGTCACTTCCGACGTCGTGCACTTCCGTTTTCCTGTTTATGCAGCGTCATGTCCGTCTGCCTGCAGCAGCGCAGGTAGGGCTTCTGCGGGAAGATGGCGACGGATAAACAGAAGCATGAAGGGAGAGTGAAGATTGGACACTACATTCTTGGGGATACGCTTGGTGTAGGAACCTTTGGAAAAGTTAAAAGTAAGTGTGATGATGTGATGGTCAGGATATCTGGATGGGAAAGGCGGTTAAAACAGGAAGGCAGTAGTCAGCTGTCCTATGTGCACTGAGAAGAGTTGCTGAACAACATTGCATGTTGCAATTTGCAGTATCTGTTGCTGTGCATGTTCACTTCAAACTCCCAGAAGAAAATAGCACCGTTTTCATGTGCATGTTGGCGGAGTTGTGTGTTGATTGATTACTGCTCTTTTTGCCTGTCCTCTAATGAAATGTTAGCTTGCTAAGTGGCTGATGTCTCAGCCTTGTGAAGTCAGTAATGGCTAATTTATGTCATTTTTAGTCGAACGTTCCCAATCGTTAAAACAGTGTCAGTGACAAAACTAAGCTGTGATTTGTAAGCCACGCCACTCCTCAAGTTAAAACTGTTTTTAGTTTTGGCTAGATGCGTAACTTAAATTTAATAAACTTTTGAACCCTTTTAATTTCTGTAGGTGTTTTAGAGGTTGTTAATTTCATGTTATCTTAAAAATAATCAAAATGTGGTGTGAGCAGTTGCGGTAGCATCTTTGTGTCACTCTGTAACGGAAAATATTGATTTCTAATGGAAAATACAGGTGCAGAAGCCGAAGAAGAAGTTTGACATCTAACGCGGTTTTTAATGATTTTTTTTTACAGACGGTGTAGACTGTTATAACCTCTTTAATTTTTGCAGTCGAAATCAAAGTTAAGTATGATTAAACTAGCACTGCATAGGGTATTCACATTAGACTTGATTATAATTCGTGGTTATTTGCAAGTTGATGAAAATTTCAAAGAATACCGTTATAAAGTCTACTTTGGATTCCAGCATTCACTTTTGATGTTAAGTTTTATGCCAAATAATAAGGAGTTGGAATATTGATGGTTCTTGAAATGTTTAAGCGACACGACCATCTCTGGTTCACTAGGTTATTAAAAGTTTAATTGAAAAATATATTAAAGATAATCTTTACTTTTATTAATATAGACAAACTATTAAAGGATAACATTACAGGAGCGTCTAGTTGATATTTACAATCTTGAATTTCCATGAAAGCTTTCAAAAACTACATGAGAGGTCTAAATGAATAAATGTTCTTTGAATGAAGATTTCATATATGACAATGCTAAGGCTAATGAAATAAAAATCAGTCTGGAACTTTCAGTCTTATGCAATGTAAGTTTTCTCAGTTCATTTACTATTAAAACTTAATATAAATAGAATATGAATCACTCTCTTCTGAAAGGTTTATAACCAAGTCTTTGCTTTCTGCAATGGTGGAGAAGTTGCATTTTCTGTTGTTTGTAAACCTCATTTGTGCCAACATTGCATTCTATAAAACCAACTCTCAATTTACATATAACAACTTTTTGAATATTTCAAATGAATATTGTCTGGACTACCAAAAGCGTTTCTAGGTTATGCTGTTACAGTTGGGGTCTATAGACCTGGTTTTTATTTAATGTAAATCTTGATTATGAATTGAGCTGGACATGGGTACATTATTGAGCAAAAAGTCAGTTTTTATGTTCAGTTATTAAATTCTCTATACATGTCCTTGACAGCAAAAGGTTTCTATTTTCAAGTAACTGAGATGGCAAAATGTACTCAGCACTTAAAATACTTATCTTAGTGAAGGCCTGTGTGTAATGTATGCAGCAAGCATTGAATTGCTCTGCAGTGCTTTGACTTACTACCTGTCCAGTGTAGTTGTCCAGTGAACTGGAACGCTTTGTTGATTCTCTCTTATTTATGTATGACTTTGGGGGCTATATCTAATGTTTCCAAGGCAACCCTGAGCCATTGGCAGTTCCATGGCTACCCTGAGACATTGTTAATCACAACTTTATCTGTTAGTTTCAGTGTTGTGTCTCACGGCTCGTAAAAGGTATATTTTCTTCTAGTTTATGTGTTGAAAACTGTAGTTGCATGTGGAGTTGTTCAAATTGTAGAAACCGAGTCTTTGTCCTGTATTTGTTTCAGTGAAGTCTATTTTTATTTTACCCCAGAGCACAACCCTGCAGAATATTACTTACTTTCAAAATTAGGCTTAAATGTGTGACAGTTAATTTTCAGTGTTTTTTTTACAAATTATTATGACTTAATCATTAAAACTGGTAGATTTGAAAGAATGAAATGAGGCTAGGCTAATGGGTTGTTTTCAGGAAAGATGGCCTTCGGTTTTTCTGCTTGTGTTCTACTGGCAGTTTTTGCATCCTTATGTCATATAGTTTTAGATATTTAAGACCAAGTCTTACTTATATTTATGTTTTTCCTGTACGCTGTTTTGAAGAGGCAACATTACTGTGCGATGTTAGCAGTTATTCTAACAGCAGAAATGGAAGGCCACCCAACATAATCAACAGAGAAGCATTAACTTGTGCTGCTGCTGATGATTTGTGAAAACTGAGGTGCTCTTTAATCCCAAGTAGCCTACTGGCTTTGGTTTAAAAGCAATCGGCCTGAATACTAGAACATTCTCATTACGTAAAACTTTCTCAAGCACTTATATTAAACACGTTAATTAGCATATAACAAGCAACTTAATTATAATTTAGGGTGGGAAACCTAAGTAGAGCTTAGTCATAATGAATATGCACTGTTTCAAAATGTTTTATACTGTATATAGCCTATGTTTTTGGAGAATTACATATTGCATTCCCCTACTCTGCTCACACTATCACTTGAATCCTTATGAATTGTGCGCATTAACCTAAATGATTAATCCAAGGAAGATTTATCATGGTCTTGGGGATTGCATCATCACCTAGTCATTATTAAAAAGTAATCACAATAGGGTTTTTGTATTCCTTTAAAGAATATCTGTTTTGCTTACCAAGGACAGCTGAAAGACTGAAGATAATGCTTCTGACTGTTTTTTATGCTGTAAGTTGTGGTGTACAATGTACTACTACAGTTAGCTTGTGCTACAGCATTAAGATTTACAAAGGGACTTTTAACAAAAATTTTTGGACAGGATAATTGGTTTCTGGGAAAATTGATATGAGTGTGTGCATCTGTGTCTGGTCTGCGATGGACTGGTGTCCCGTCCAGGGTGGATTTAGGCTCCTTCCTGTTGATTGTGGATGGATCAAAGTGTTAGGCAGTTTAGTAGGGCATTATCCAACAACATGAAAGAGTCCAACACCTTTTTTACCTTTACCTTTTTGAATAGTAATGATCAACCTGACTGCTTTGTAACCTGTACTCAAAGGTTACAGTAGACGTTTTTGTGTTTTGCAATCTCCATGGCTCCATGACAAACCTCTGGACATCTTTGGGTATTGGCCTGTGTATAGTAGGTTGTGTATTAGTTTACTTCCTCATTAGGGTGAAAAACGTGTTTGTTTTTACTTTTTGTCCAGACAGGAAATCTGCTTTGCAGGCAGATAACAGACAATACAAAACACACAATAGATTTAACACAACATTAACCAATTTACTAATAAGAATTGTACATGTATGATGATAAAGGAAAAAGAAATATAAATATACAATCAATTGTCCAAATTAAGTAGGTTAATGGCTGTGGGAATAAAGGATAACTGTTGCACTACTTTTAATCTAAATGGACACCCAGATGAAAGGAGCTCAGATGCATTGTTGTAAGGGGTGGTCATGACGATGATTATATTGGCCTTCTGCACTGTTTGTTTGACGTAGATGTCTGACAGCTCTAGCTGTTGTGCACCAGTGATTTTGCCGGCTCCTTTCACAATCCTGCTCAGTCTGTTTTTATTGTGTGCATTAAGGTTACCAAAGCAGGGTTCCGCAGTGAATGTTAGAACAACATGCATTAAGCAACACCTTAGTATTACTGAGACCTTCACATTATATAAGGTGCTATGTTTTAACAATGAACTAGATTAACAGTGGACCAAATTAACTGCTGCTGTAGTCAGTGTAAAACTCTTTAAAGTGACAGTATTTAAGATATGACATCCACCTCCTTCCTAAGTAGACTGCATAGGCTTGTGGTAACCATCAAATCAACCAAGTAACTAGCACTGTCTTTGTTAATACATTTTTTACATGTAAAAATTTATTTCTGCAGAAGAGTATTGGTAATTGGCTTAGTTTACTTGTGGAGGTGTTGTCTACAAGAAGACAGTTGTTTTCTGATTATATTTCTCATTTAATATTTTGTGTTGCACCCTTAATGGCCTGACATCGGTATGCACTTTACAGTAGAGATTACAAATCAGCAGAAGCATTGGTAGACGGAACATGTTGAGGCACAGAAAGTAAAAAGTGGTTGTATAGGAAGCACTAGCTTGAAATGTTTCAAAATTGTTTTGAAGACCTTGAATGGAGAGAGATTATCAGTTAGGCTGTTGCACAGTTTTGGTGTGTTTGTGTTGAAAAGTCCTATAGCCCAGTGTGGTGGCTTGTCATGGGGACATTCAGCGAGCAGAGCTCTTGAGAGTGTAGATCAGGAAATCTTTAAGGTAGAAAGAAGTGATTGTTTTAATACTTTTTGTTGATTAAGAGCCAAAGCAGAAAGGCGAGAGCAGGAGTGATATTCATGTGAAACCTATCTGGCTAAGATTCTAGAGGCTGGGTTTTGAACATAATGAAGTCTAATAGTGCCCTTGGAAGCACTAGCAGGATGTGCATTGCAGTAGGTCTGATAACCCACTTTGCTTGCTGTTTAAGCATTTAAAGCTCAGCATACACAAGAAGATGTGTTTTCAGTTTTATGCTGAATTGTTCCCCTGTATGCCTGCTGTTTTTGTGGTTTAACGTCTTCTGCTTTGACAGATGTTTTGCTTTTGGCCGATCAGGAGAGACTGAGTGCGAGTTCATCAGTCACGTGACAAGATGGTGATTTCTTCATAAGATGTCATGATTTGGAATCCGGTTCCATTTTGTGTTTTTAGTTCAAATGGTATTGAACAAAATACAGCGCATAGTACAGTTTACCGCAGTAAGGATTTCATCTGCTCTGAAGGATGCTGCAGGAATGTTAATATCGGTTGAAATTTCTCAGTGACATTTTCTGCAATTTTGTTTTTTGACAAGACGGGTTTCCAGAGTTGTGTTGTGTCATGTATATGCTAGGTTTACAAATGAACTTTATGCTCATTAAAATGCTCATTTCACTCTGTTGTGGAGCAAAGTGAAATGAGTGTCGTCGATCAATCTCTGTTGGTTTCATGTATTGCAGTATTCACACCTATCCAGCGGCAGTTGTGGAAAAAAGTTCAAAAGGCTGCAATGCTGAGTCATAGATGTTCTGGACTGATTTGTTTTTTTTTTTCGTTATTTTATAGGAGCCACTAAAACCTAAACTACAGTGCATTTTTTTTTTACACTTGCAGCAGCACCAGTTGTGTGGCACAAAAACAAATGAGGGCAGGGATGTGAATACACAGTACATTTTAAAGAATTTATTGGCTAATTGAAAGCACTTATGTTTTTTGACTAGGCTTTACCTCAGCATTCTTTCACTCTTTATGGAGTTTCTCTTTAGAACCATTAAGCATACAAAGACAATATAAACAGTTTCAAGCTTTCTCTAAACTATTTTCCTAAAGTTCTTTTTTTAACATGATCTAATAAGGAGATATAAAATGTAATTACTGAATAGAACAGTAAAACATAGGTATTTAAATTTTCATTTGAGACTTTCCTCTCAAGTTAAGAATGCAAGAATGTCAGAGGTGGATTTATCCAGCTCCTTTGGTTTTTAAATATCTTTGAATCTCATCCAGCCCTTTCTTGAGATCAACCAAGATATCGGCTTCAACAGTATGGCCCGGCAGCCTGTTCCATACTTCCAGAATGATGTGTAAGAGAGCTTAGTGTTTTCTGAAATTCAAGAAAAGCAAGCAGTCTGATATTTCTAGGAGACTGACTTTTTGTTCTAAAATGAACATTCTAAAGTACTTTTATTCAATCAAAAGTACTTCAATAATTAACTATTTTTTGAGGTGAAGAAAATGTACTTTTAATACTTCATTTAATTTTGGTTATTTGAGAAACCTGTAAATACTTATTAAATAACTTATTTAAAAGTGAATTAATTGATCTATAATCAAGATTGTTAATGGTTTAATTTTTTAATTTATGCACAGAGTAAGTTTGGTCTTCAGGTAAAGATTATGCTTTAAAAGCTCGTTTTAAAAATGGGAAATTATGAATTATATGCTTTCTGCTACCTTAAGCAGATTCTGGTTATATGCTGCTTGGCAGCACACTGCTGTGTTGGTAGAATTCTGCTTGTGTTGAACCGCTTGAATCATTAGAGCCTGTTGAGTGCCATATGCTTTGTCTTAGACAATGTAGGACTGGAAAATTGTAAACAAAGCCTCTTCAATTGCATGCTTAAATGAGCACAGATTGGAATACAGATTTAGCCAACATGTTTTCCTGTTACTTGATTTGTTGTATTATTTTTGGATTATTGTGTTAAGTGCAAGCATTCTGTTTAAAATTTTAGTTTGTTTCTCGTGTGGCTGTTTTTTGGGGTCTCTGAAGTATGTTAGATTGCCAATCTTGAAGAGCACATGAATCGGCAATGATGCACTTTTTTGGTTAACAGGTGAATTTCCATGGCTGTTTGACAAATGTCCATTGTACACTAGTTTTCAAGTGTGGAGCCGCATCAGTGTGTGCTGGCTATAATAGGATACAGCTGAAGAAGACTCCACAACCGAAACATTGTTCCTTCTTTCTTAATGGAATTAACCCTTACTTGTTTCTATGGTGTACTAATGCCAGAATACTGTATCGATTATATTTTACTGCAACTGCTCTCCATGATTTGGACCTTAAAGAAAAGAACACTGTGTTGCCAGAGGAGGTTAACTTTGTAAGTAATTAAAATACCCTAGAACTAGAAACTTTTCTTTCTGCGCTAGTTTTTAATTTTGAAATCTGATCCAAGTTTCTGGTTGCATAGATTGTCAAAGAAGGGTTATTTTATTGTGAATTGTTCAGTTACAGTGATTTACATGATTAAAACTGGTGATACTTGTTTTGCAGTACTTGTCTCTGGTGTGGCACCTGTCACTTTGCTCTGTTATCAGTAAATTCTGTATCTGATCTTCCCCAATGCTAGGATAGGGGTCACAGTGGTGAGTCGGGTATTGTGATTGGCCCTTCCATGTTTTTAGTGAAGGAGGAATAACTGCAAATTCTGTTGACCAAAAACATTTTTCTTGTTCATCTCGGAAGCAAATATTAACTTTTGTTTTCAATTTGGTTATGTAATCCGAGTCCTCACCTGAGGTGAGTGAACCATAATAAATGCCGCTTTCTGAATGTTTGCAGAATTTTAGTGCCAGTTAATGTATATTTGAATACTGCTGATGAGGGCACATATTATGAATTTGGAATCCCCCTTGTTTGGACTTGAAGTTGGCGTGAGGTTGTTTCCTTGCTTAGCCTATAAGCAAAGTTCTAGGCAAGTCCTGCTAGATTCAGCATCTCAGTCAGAAGAGGTCACCTTTTGTGGAAATGCCTGGACTGCTTCCTTCCACAGAGCTAAGATCCATTTATCCATTTTCTTACCACTTCTTCCAATACACATTCGTGGTGAAGCTGTAGCCTATCCCAGCAAGCAATGGCTGCAAGGTGGCATGCACCCTGGATGGAACACCAGTCCATTACAAGGCAGACACACAGACATTTACACCTGGGGCCAGTTTTCGCAGAAACCAATTAACTTACCAGTGTGTTTTTGTAATGTGGGGTTGCCAAACCCCACACTCGGGGTCCCAGAACTGCAAGACAGCACTGCTAACCACTGCACCACTGTGTGGCCGCTGAGCTAAGACTTATTTTTTCTTTTTCTTCTCTTTTTTTCTGATCACAGAGATGTTTTTTTTAACCAAAACACTTAGTGTTGTACTCAAAAACATGAAACAAAAACAGATTTTGTATAAATACATGTATAGTTAGAGGTTTATGTTTGATCACCCAGTGATCCTTTTTCCCTCCCTCTCAGTTGGACAGCATGAACTGACAAAGCACCAAGTGGCTGTAAAGATTCTCAACCGGCAGAAAATCCGTAGCCTGGATGTCGTGGGAAAGATTCGAAGGGAAATCCAGAATCTCAAGCTATTCAGACATCCGCATATAATTAAACTGTAAGTCCTGCATTGTATTACCTAATCATTAGCTAAAACAATGTTTAACATCGTGAGAGTGGTTTTTCAGTTTCCACTTAAAATAGTTCGCTTGTGAGATCTTTTTTTATTGAGTTACAGTTAATGTAAACCAAAATGAGTTTAGTTAAACTAGCTTTTCCCTGGTTATTCCTTCTCAGGTGACTAGATTCCAAAGTTGTTTTTAACAGAGAAAACAGAAATTCTCCCAAATTAAAAGCAGTTTATGATAAAACAAGTAACTGAATTACTTGTAAGACACTCTTACAGCTACCCAAACAAACTCTGCTTCTTTTTCCATTCTGTCTTAAATTATGTTTAAATTGGTTTGTACCATATTTTTTCATTTGGTTTATACCTCACCTGATGAAAATTAACTTCACTTTCAATGTTAATGAATTAATTCTGTAGGGTTTAGTGTAATAAACGTTCTTTTGGTGTATTCATAACTGTATACTATAGTTTTAACACTTAACCAAATGTTTTTAGGCAAATGTTTTGCTTTTTCAAATACTTCCTATATACTGTAGTATACTATAAAGTTTTAAAATTGTGAATATTATATGTGAAGTCAGTGTAAAAAGTAGAAAACCTTTAATGTTACAGGTATCAAGTAATTAGCACACCAACAGATATTTTCATGGTGATGGAATATGTTTCTGGTGGAGAGCTGTTTGACTACATCTGTAAAAATGGGAAGGTAAGAGAAATCACACCACATATCATTTTCTGTATGATATATTGCCATGAAATACTCTTTGTGAGGCCTTTATTATGTGACTTTTTAAACTTTTAACATAGACATTTGTATATATATATATTTGCTGCATGGCTTGTGGTATAAGTTCTAGAATGTACTATACCATCAGGTACTAATGTTGATGTAATAAATTTTATGTTAAGATTTGCAGTTACAATGACTTTATTTCATTATAAGCTATTTGGAGTCCTGTATTTTACAATCTGAACTAAACTTTAAAGCAAAAGAAAAATCACACCTTTCATTTACATTTTGGCATCATTGCATCCCTAATAGTGTTTCTTACCCTTTTCCCAATCTCAGTACACTTGCTTTAATACGTTGTAATGTATTCCACTCCCCACATCTATTATCATTTAAATAAAATATAGATGTGCATGTATTTCTTTAGAAATCCCTTCACATATAATGCTTTCCAGTTCACAAGGCCTTAAAAACAGCATTGCCAACTTATCAAGCACACTAAGAAAAGAAAATAAGGAACTACATGTAGTCTTTAAGTTTAAATCTTTGATGATGCTAAGGATGTTGCTGATTATATTAAGTGACAATTTCAATTTTGTGTTCACAAAAGAAGGAATAGACAACATGTTGGCTAAGAAAAGACACTTCCATGTTAATTAATTTTAGCATAAAGACAGAAGTGTCACAGGTACTGGAAGCATTTAAGATGAATATATTTCCAGGGCTTGATGGCATTCTGTTAATTGCACTTGAAAAAACAAGGTGTTATTTATAGGTCTTTAAAAAAAGGTCTTCGACCAGTGTCTCAAAGTGGTTAATACCTACTGATTTGAACATTGCTAATGAAGTATTCATCAATAAAAAGGGTGACAAGACTGAACCAAATAATCATATCATTGACATTTTAAGTTGAAGCACAGAATAAATTTATCCAAAAAGAGTAATATTGATTCTACTATTCTATTCTCTGGCATATTTGAGAAAAGAATATGCGATTAAAAATTGTGGTATAGAATTAAAGTAAAAATCACATTTTAACACAATTGGTCAAGTACTTTAGACATGTTTGCAGTGAAGTGTTTTTTTCTACTTGTCCAGTGTAACACCTGCTGCACTAATTCAGAATACTAAAACAGTCTTGGATTTTTTCTCTACAGGTGAAAAAGTGACCATTTTGTTAGTCTTTATCAGCACAAGTATATTTAGATATTTTTGTATGGTTTTCAATCTAATTGGGAGACGGTATAATTTGTGGTTCCCAATCTTGTTACTTGTGATCGTAGCTTGATGAGAAGGAGAGCAGACGGCTCTTTCAGCAGATCATCTCTGCAGTGGATTACTGCCATAGACACATGGTGGTGCACAGAGACCTCAAACCAGAGAATGTGTTGCTGGACGCACAAATGAATGCAAAAATCGCAGATTTTGGTAAGCAGCCAGAACCTTTGCTGAGAATCCGAGAAAGCACTATTTCCTGTAATGTTAACGCTGTCCTTTACAAGAAGACATTTTTTTTACCCCTGTTGTCTGTTATTTGTAATATTTCTTAGATTTTTCTAAGATTTCTAAGATACGCCTGTTGATCTACGTAAACTAGTTCAAAAGTATGTAGAAGCAATGCTTTTCAAAAGTATTGTCCAAGCAAACTGTTGATAGGACTTCTATGTACTGAATTGTATCAAAGCAAATAATTTAATTCCTCTAGATTTTCAACATTTAAACTCAGAAAAGCAGACCTAAATGCTCTGTTTTCAAGCATGTTTAAAATTAAACTTTGCAATGAGGTCAAGTGAGGTAGCCCACTTTAATGTATTAATCTGTGTAACCCAATGGGAAGCTGGAATATCTGAGAACAGATCAATATGTCACTTAGTACAGTATTTGACAGTACTTAACAATGCTCTGTGTTCTGTTATATTACAAATTAGTGCTCCATGAACACTTTTTAGGTTCATCTAGCAAATACTTTATCATCTATGGAGTTTACTTATTTCACTGAGGACTTTGGCTGTACCTGAACAATATTCATATGCCATTAAGTGTGCAGCAGACAGAGCATACAGATGGGAAAATAAACCAAAATAGAGGACGAGATACAGGGACACAACCCCTTGAGTAAGCAGCTGGTTTAGTCGGTTTCCATGGCTTCTACATTTGAAACTGCATGTACTAAAATCTTTTGTGCACAGTTGCCAAATCTGGTTGCACAATGAAAACCAAGTATGCTCAAATTCTGTGGTTGCCAAATTAGTGGTTACTGTACAACATACAGCTATTTTAGAATCCAGTTTTCTTCCCTACATATTTTATATTTTGTTAATGGTTTTGACATGTTATATTCTAATTATTTGTCACTCATTCAAGGCAACCTTTTAACTTATTTTTATTATCTTTTATTAAATACAGGTCATTTCCTTGTAGAAAATGTAGTGTAAAAAGAGAAATGTCAGTGGAGAATTGACACTACTGGGGAATGATTTTATTTAAATTGCACAATTTAAGTGTTAAGAACAAAGTTACATACGTTTGAATTTTTGAGTTTTATTTTGTTATTGCAAGGCTCTTCATATAATGTAGATTTGTCACCTCTTTTTTCATTGGTTTAAAATGTTATACAGTTTATAGAATGCTGTATACAATTAAATTAGGGTGTTTGTATGTGAATTGTCGTAGTTTATTATTTTCTTCTTCCTGGTGTTTGCGCTTGCAGGTCTGTCAAATATGATGTCTGATGGTGAATTTTTGAGAACTAGCTGTGGTTCTCCTAACTATGCTGCTCCAGAAGTCATTTCAGGAAGGTATTGCTCAAGTTTCTTTGTTATTTCTGTGGTGTAAATAGATTTTGGCAGCAGAACGTGATCCCTACATGGAAAGAACACAAATATAAAATTAACTTAAGGATGAAACAAGGAGGAAAGTGTCTGTGAATTTCCATTTCATCATTTATGGCTTGTGGTCTTTGTTTTTGTGTGCATCTTAAATTGTTTCAGCTGGTTCCACTTTTTTGATTAGTGGCAAATTGCTGGAATAAAAAACGGGTCTACATAGTACAAAAGCATTACTTTGAGTGAATTGGGACAGGGCTCTTTGGTTTCATTCAGTGTGATTAATAAAGCTTAAGTAATGGAAGGTAATGTGTGCTATAACCATGTTGCATTTCAAACTCAAACTGTTATGCATTTGTACTGCAGATTGATTAGATTGAATTATTTGAAGTCTGTTTTTTGTACATAACTGTTTTTGATATATCCTATCAGAGGAATACATATGGAAGCAACATATAGCAATAATCATCCTCTTTCAGGTTGTATGCTGGTCCAGAGGTAGATATCTGGAGCAGTGGTGTAATTCTTTACGCCCTGCTCTGTGGGACACTCCCATTCGATGATGATCACGTGCCAACGTTGTTCAAGAAGATCTGCGATGGCATCTTCTACACGCCACAGTACTTGAACCCCTCTGTAATCAGCCTTCTGAAGCACATGTTGCAAGTGGATCCTATGAAAAGGGCAACCATTAAGGACATTCGGTAAGTACATTATGAATGCTGGAGTGTCACTGTGCAACAGTTGTCCATTGAGATGCGGGGTTATTCATTGAGAAGAACCTTAATGTCATGCTAAGTAGGGATTTTTTTTTAGTTTAATCAAATGTGTTACGAGTTTTTTTTAATTAGTTGTCATCATATATAAAAGCCAAGGTTCACATTACCACTAAAAATATTTTAAAAAACTTTTCTATCTCCTGTCTTGCAGCGAAGATGAATGGTTCAAACAGGACCTCCCTAAATACTTGTTTCCTGAAGACCCGGCCTATAGCAACACCATGATTGATGATGAGGCTCTGAAGGAGGTCTGTGAGAAATTTGAATGTGCTGAAGAGGAGGTTCTGAGCTGCTTGTACAGTCGGAATCACCAGGACCCTCTGGCTGTGGCCTATCACCTCATTATAGACAATCGCAGGATCATGGATGAGGCCAAGGACTTCTACTTGGCCAGTAGTCCTCCTGACTCATTCCTGGATGAGCACCACTTAGCAGCAGCGAAGCCTCACCCAGAACGAGTACCTTTCTTGGTTGCAGAAGTGCCACCGAGGTCACGCCACACACTGGATGAGCTAAACCCACAGAAGTCAAAGCACCAGGGTGTGCGCAGAGCTAAATGGCATCTGGGTATCAGAAGTCAGAGTCGGCCCACTGACATCATGGCAGAAGTTTGCAGAGCAATGAAGCAACTAGACTACGAGTGGAAGGTATATGATAGAAATGCAGCTCTACACACTTTCTAGTCCTTTGGTGTTTTATTTGCCAATCCAGCTGTACATCCTTTCTAAAACATTAACAAGATTTCTTCAGTATTTAATTTGATAAAAATGATGGTATTTGTTTTAAATGAGTTTGCATTTTTCATTGCAGAATTTAATGTTTTTTTTTATCTAGACCATAATGAAAATGAAATAGTATTCATGAAGAAAATATTGTTGAAAACACTGAACAGTGATGTTTTACTATTCTTTAAAATTTAGAAATTAACACAATGGCAACAAAGTGTTTGTGTGTATGTCGGATTTTGATGCATTTAAAATGTCACTAATATAGACTTCATAAAATCAGTTGAACTGGAACATATTTAAAAGGAATACTTTTAATCGAAACACTCGAAATGACAACTTCTATAGATGAAAGAACACAAATCTTAATCAGAAGCGGTTAAGAAAAATCTAAAACTAAAATGTTGATTGCTCATCCCCTTTACTGTGGCATTCAACTGAATGTCGTTCAGTCAGAAAGTGAATTTCAAACAAAGATTCAACCACAAACAACAGGAGCATTTAAAAATATGCGAGACATAAAACTGTAGAAAAGCGCAGATCAGGAGAAGGGGCATTAAAAAAAAAGACACTGGATATCTCTGAGCATGGTGAAGTTGATCATGTAATGGAAGGAGTATAGATAGCCTAGATAAGGATATCCCTCCAGATGTTCAGCCAGGTGGAGAGGAAACTGGAGGAATCTCGCCAATAAGGTCAATAGTGATTGTGAAAGAGGTGAGAGAAAACATCCATGAGTCAGCAATTTCTCAGTCACTCTGCAAAGCTGCCTGTATGGCAGACTGGAATCTCAAATCCCACATGGAGTTTGAATTTTTCAACAAAACATATAAGTGATACAAATATGTGGCAAAGGTTTTTGTAGTCAGAGGAAACAAAATTAGGACTTTTTGGCTTAAATTCAAAACGTACATTTAAATATACAATTTAAAATGGTTTTATATCATTTGAAATGCAACAAAATGGGAGATCATGAAGAGGGAGTGAATACTTTTGCAAGGCATTGAGAGGCATTAATACAATAAGCATTAAAGCCATTCAAACAGGTTTTTATCATACTCTTTGCTTAATGAGCACATTACAATTGTTCACTCTTTTGTAATAGCCAGTAGACATATCACCCTGCAACTCACAACTAGCAACACACTGAAGCTCAGCAGGTAACTGGATGCGTAACTGTAACTGGATGCGAGACCTCCTGGGAAAAGCTAAGGTTGCAGCTGGAAGAGGTGTTAGTGGGGGCAGCAGGGGGTGTTCACCCTGCAGTCTATCTGGGTCCTAATGCTCCAATATAGTGTCCGTCCTTCGGATGAGACATAAAACCGAGTTCCTGACTCTTTGTGGTCATTAGAAATCCCAGGGTGTTTTTCTTTAAGAGTAGGAGTGTAAGCCCGGTGTCCTGGCCAAATTCCCCATTGGCCTTTACCAATCATGGCCTCCTGATAACCCCCATATATGAATTGGCTTTATTACTCTGCTCTCCTCCCCATTGATAGCTGATGTGTGGTGAGCGTTCTGGCGCACTATGGCTGCCGTTGCATCATCCAGGTGGATGCTGCATATTGGTGGTGGTGGAGGGGAGTTCCCATTACCTGTAAAGTGCTTTGAGTGGTGTGTCCAGAAAAGCACCATATAAGTGTCAGCAATTCATTAATTAATTAATAACAAATGAAAGTCCAGTGTAATTGTTGCGTTTTGCAGTGTGGAGCCAAGATGTGGGTCAGTTAACTGTGATCTATATTGGGATTTGTTGCAATTGAACAGTTTAAATATTTGGAGATTGAATGAGACCAGCTGTGATTCTTCTGGGTCTTTATCATAGTGAATGACAGTGGCTGTAACACAAGAACCAGTGTGATCTCTGTCTCTTTGTAGTCAGAGAACTGAGGCTAAATTTCACTCGCAGGGTGCTCCTCCATTTGTTGTACTTGTCAGCCTCCTTTTCCACTACCTCCAAGTATCTGTGCATAGGGATATGATCAAACACTTTGCTCCTCTTTTGATCTGGACACAGACTTTGAAAGTTTTGACATTCCATAATAGTTTTGTACCAGCATGTTTAAGTTTCGGGAAATAATTTCGGGACATAATTCCCTGTCCCCTGCATTTCCAGAAAAATGCTGACTTACCTGCCACACTGGCTGCAACACCGCACCAAAGGACATTTGCCAAGTATACCCTGGTGCTTGGTGCTTCCTACCGATATCTCATGCACTCTTTTCCTTATTACTCCCTAGGTTGTGAACCCATATTATCTTCGTGTGCGAAGAAAGAACCCAGTGACGGGAATGTATACCAAGATGAGTCTTCAGCTCTACCAGGTTGATAGCAGGACCTACCTCCTAGACTTCCGTAGCATCGATGGTATGTGAATAACAGCAGGGAGGTTTTTTATTACAATTATCTGCAGTGTTTAATATACATTTTAAGATGCGTCTGAAGACTCTCTTTTGTTTTCAGCATGACTCAGGCAAACGCTTCTAGCTAGTACGTTTTCAGTTTAACGCTACATAACATGAGAAGATGTTGACCTTGTGTAGACAGATTTAAAAAATATTGCCAAATGAAGAAAACATTAAAAAGTAGTTATTGTTCATCAACATTAAGATTTTCTCTGAAAAGGTTCAGGAAGAAGAAAGTTTCAAAGGTAGTTGAAGGTCTTGGTGGAAGTGACCTGGACAGATTCCATAGCTAGGGTGAGGATATTAATGTTGGCACAGTTATTAACTGTTCACATTCTTAGTCATTAAAGAGTCAATACTTTTATTAATTGGACTTGTTGCTTTATATATATTTATGACATTTTTTCTAAAAGAACTGTGAACATGCAATAGGCAATGGAGTTCTCAATTTTCTCCTGAGGTTTAGTAGTCTTCACTTGCCAACTTGTCTGTGGACGGTTGTCGGCACTTCAACATGACCGAGTACATGCAAGAAAACCTATGTCAAGTGTGTGAGCAACAGTTGCTTTTTTAGTAATCTAAATGTGCCAATCTCCTTAACAAATGCATGAGTGGAAAAATATATATTTCTTGTTCCACAACATCCTTTATCATAATGTGGACGTGGGAGGCATCACCTGGAATAAGGCTCACTTTCTACATAGATCTCTTCCTGTTGCTACTTGGAATAAAAATATTTGTCCTCGAAAACCGGGTTAATAAGCAATTCTAAACTCTCCTGTCATCCTTCCCGTGTTAGATGAAGTGACAGAGGTGAAATCTGGGACAGCTACCCCTCACCGCTCAGGCTCTGTCGGGAACTACCGGACGTCTCTGAAGAATGAGGTGGAGGGGGACTCTCTCTCTAAGGGGGACCCACCTGCCCGAGGCTCGGATGGCTCTCTGACATCATCGCTGACATCATCAGCGGACTCCACAAGTGGGGACACTGTTCCAAGACCAGGGAGCCATACCATAGAGTTTTTTGAGATGTGTGCTAATCTCATAAAAATACTTGCACGATAATTTTTGGCATTAGCCTTTGAGTGTCTTTATAGCAATAAGCATGCAACGATTCATGGCTTAATGCTTCCCACATGGATGGAGACCTTTAATGGAACTTAATGAAGTTAGCTCCTGTGAAAGGGCTTGCTTGGGGAGGGAACATTAACAGTGATTGCTAAGCCACTTTATAGTAAATTAGGAGTTTTTAAAATTAATTTTCATTCTTGTTGTTCATTTAGTTGAATTGTGTAACCCCCAAATTCATTTGACTTTTTCCACCCTTGCATTGGCACAATGAGGAGCATAATCTAACTGTACTGTGTTCAGTGATGTTAAATCCCTGTTTATTTTATAAAATAATTTGCCTGCAGGAGCTCTAGAATTAAATGCAGGAAGCAAATTTGCACACGTTCCTACCTGCTGCTCTAGTATCTCGATTGGAAGACTAGAATACCAGTGCCCAACTTGCACAATGTGCTGTATGCATTTTGCAGAAGAATGCATAAAATAGAATTTCACTGGGGAAGAACACAATTGTGCAATTCTCCACAAAACATTTCTTTTGCTCTGGTATAACTTAAGGACTGATTTTTAAAAATTCAACTTAATTCATTCGTTTGCCATTTTGTAATAGATGTTTCTTAATTTGCATATGTATGTCCCCAAATTTTTTATATATGATGAATGCAAATTTGAATCTGGATATATTTATCACTGCTTTATGTGGGGATCCTAGATACTGTTGAAATTATGGATTATAGTGTATATGGACTTTGGAATTGTGATTTTTTTTTTAAATTTAGCATATTTTTAATTATATAACTGGATTTCCCATTTTAATCCATTTACTTTTTTGTTTGAAAGTCTTCACTTTTTATTTCAGTCTTATAAAAATTTTTGGTCAGCTTTTTTTCATTAGGGTAAAATCAAAGGATATACCAATGTGAGCATTAAAATAGGTTGATTATTTTACCCAATATTCCATGTTTCATAATATTGTTAAAATTTCATTCTGTACAGTGGAGTTTGACAGGTATTTGCTAAATTCAGGCATGGCTAAATCATTTTCATAGACTGCTTCCAAGAAGTTAACTTTGAAAAAGATCAATTAAGCCATTTTTGCTTGAATTGTAAAATTTGTCACTATCAGGTTTAAATATTGATGCCCATTTATCTAGTTTATTTTACCTTAGGTTTAATCATTAAAGATTTGGTTTGATATGAGCATTTGAACTATATTACTTATTGGTATTTACAACATTTTCAGGCAAACTGTGATATATAACTTCAGAATTCTGTAGGTTTTCTTACCTTGGGTAGCCCAGACTTCACTTTTGGGAAATTCAGAGTTTCGTTTTACTTTCTTTCACTTTTTTAGTTTAAATTCTGGAAGAAAAGACATTGAAAGATGCTGTGGTTCAGACTGCCTGTGCTTCCAGTGTGCCAATCTTCTAGCATTGAACTGAACTACCATTATTCGTCATAGAAAGGCTATAGATGGTAGCTTCACAGAAGAACATTTCTGAAAAGAAAATGCACTGAATACAGGCTTAACAGTTTTGTTAATAGAACAGTTTTAAAACAAGCGATACTGATATTTTCTCAGAGTGTTCCTACCTAAAGATAGATTTTATGATGGCAGGAGAAGGAACCAATGATGTAACATGCCCACTCTTAAGCTTAGTAGCACTTGATTTAGAGTTCAGTAACAACTGTGCACGCATTGTCTTCTTATTAAACTGATGCCAAAAACACGTTTTTAGAAATTGATCATTCAGATTTGTGTTTTTTAAACATTTTGTTTTAATATCCACTAAATTCATTAGGTGTCTAAGGTGCATATAAAGTGAAAGTGTTTTATTGGCTCTCCTGCAGTGGTGAGAAAGCAGCAGCTACTTAGGACAGCCATTTAATAATTACAGGTCTGCATAGCAGCTGCCTTATTGTTAATACAAACTGTTGATCAGATATGTATCAGTGGAAGGGGAAGTAAAGTGTTCATTCCCAGAATTCAATGGGGCTGAAAGTGATCTATATTAATTCTTACATCCAGAAATGGCCACAGGTACTCAATTGGTATAATTTTTCTTGCTTGAAGTTTTTGTTATATATCCACCGTAATTTAAATATTTGAGAGATTTTTTTAAACATTTGGTTACTTCAAAATACAAAGCATTGATAATTCTCCCCGACTTTACATTTTTTAATTTAAAAGGATTTTGTTTTTTTAAAGGTATAACTTGCCCTCTTAAGAGAACTACTTGATTTGAATTGAATTTCTTTACAGCATGGTATTTTCCCTTTTTACCTTTGTACGATGGCAGTGTTTTAAATGGATTAATTCAGAAAGGGGACCAGTTACATAAGCATTATCTGGACTCTGTATGTGTCTTAATTGCTTTCATGAATTTTAATGTAAAGGGACCCTACATGTTTGCCCAATGTAAGTTTTACTTTACAGTGTTTAAAATCATATGTACAAGAACTGCCTAATAAACATAAATTGCACAAACCTTCCACAGTTGGTTTTCTTGTTTTCTTCATTCAAATAATTTAAATATGTAGCTTCAGTTAATGTAGGTACCCAAACTCCGTTCGGAAGAGGTTTTTAGTGTCCAAAAAGAATACATTGAAAACAAAGCACTACTAGATTTTTCTTTAAAATGATGTCATAAATCCTGAGTGACTATTAGTAATTTTATGTTTTAACTTTGGTTTTTAATCAGTGTCCCTGTCTTATAATGAGGTTGCCATTATTTGCAATTCTATTATTGTGTTATTGTGTTAAGTATTTTAAGCATAAAAATATTTAAATATCCAGAAATGTAACACCCACCATATCAGTTCACATGGTTTCAGTTGTTTTCTGGACCTGGATCGCTATTCACATTACAGTTGCAGTCCGAAATTTGGAGAGAAAAAATAACACGTTCTAAATACTAACCTCTTCCATTTTGTTTCTAAAAGAAACCGATAATAAGTGAATCCAAAGGGTAGTGCTTATTTTAATCCTAACCCTAAAAAGCACACTTTTTCCAAACAGAACGTTTTAAATGAAAATTGTCAAACAAATTGTAAGAGCGGATACATTTGCAGTACTTTAAACTTCAACTTTATTGGATTACAGCCTTTTTTTGATTCACTTAAGCAATTTTCTATTCGTTTACTGGGAGGTTTTGAGATGACGATCCTGAAAAGCCAAATTTTTACACGAGGCTGACGTTGTTTTATTCGCCAGTTTCTTATTCGCTTTTTTCGTTCCACCTTAAATGCTGATGCAGTGATGTTATGTCGTCTTTTGCCTGTGGGTGGCTCTCTTCGGTTAGTACTAATCTGGATGGAATACTGTAGACATCCTCAGTGAAAGGGAATATCCAAATAAGTAGTGACTGTCCAGATTGTATTTTTGTATGGAACATGTTTCAGAAAATCGCAAACCAATTTTAAAAACTCACAATTACACGAACTTGCACTGAGAAAAGGTGATTGCACTTTCTGCTTATTATATTACTATGGCCCTCACCCCGGTTATAAAAATGTCTCACAATTCTGACACCGAGGTGAGAGCGGAAATGTACAGCACTGTCAAAATCCTGAAGTACAAGAAAATTTACTGTACCATTTTTAAATATGACCCTCTGAACATGGCATGTGAGGATTTATAGTCAAAAAAATAACGCACGTTCTGCTTATTTGCTTTGTCCCTCCTTCCTCATTCCCAAAACATCTTAATATTCTCTCACTAAGGTAAGAGAGACAAAGCCACTCATCATGTACATTTGTAATTACAACACTGTTGTGACATTCTGAACATGGCATGTTCAAGTACATAGAAAATCGAGATCAGGACAAGCTAATTGCAGTTCATAGTGATTTGTCATT